GCTAACTGACCCACACGATCCATGAGGAGCTTTACTGGGTTTGTGCAAAACCTTGATTGAATGAAATCGTTTTTTCCCTTTTAAAATGACTTAAAGCGTCTCCTGAAAAGTTGCATTATTACACAAAAAAAAGGCGTTAAAGAGAAAACAGAAGTGTTTTAGTTACATTGATGTACCACATTTTTTGTTCATGCAGATGTATATTTAATAAAACTGTGTTATCTTGTGCATACTCATCAGTATGGAAGCGTAATGATGTCAATGTGAGGAAAAATATTGAAGGGACAGTATGTCATAATAAAGAGAATGTTTCTTGTTATAATGACACATAAAACTCACTTTACCAGAAAATTTCTCGTAATAACGAGAAAGGTAAAATGGTGATTATCTTTTGTGGCGTTTTACTCTGAATGACAAAAACCTCAGCAACACGGTGCAAAACTCAACAAATCACACTCAGCTCTCTTCTTCGTCGACCGCCAGCTCCGCCATGAGCACCCCGGTGCCAACACAATGGACGGACAGCTTTACATGCCGAGAGATCGCGTTTTAGTGTAATAGAAACAAACACCAAAAGCACCTATTTCACACACAGAGAACAATGTCTAATGAAATATATGGATATACTCTTTATGCATTTAATTTCATTAATGTAAAAAGTTTCTAAAACTGAAAAAGCATCAAGAGGAAGTGAACTTCTACTTTGAAACCTTTACCTCATTTAGAAAGTGGAAGTACTGAAAATTTCCGTGGACAAGAAATCCATCCGATCAATTGTCAAAATGACTTTTATATGTTGTTACAACAAGAAAGTTTCTGGTTAAAACAAGATTTGTATCACGTATAGAGAGGTGGGCGAAATACCAAAAATTTACAGACACCGCAGATTATCTCTATCACCGACGCCACTTTGCTCCTGTTTGTTTTACAGAAAGTTCCATGTTGGTTGTAGATGTTCCGTTAAGATGCCAAAAAACTGGAAGGGGTGGAGTCACGTGATTTTGTGTAGTCATATAATAATACCAGGTGAACACTGATGTAGAGGAATAAATACCCTGAATGTCGGCATTTTGGGGCTTTTTTTAAATTCAATTGAACTCAAGTTTCTGTTTAATAAAATTCACACATAAACATCCTAGTTCCAGATTTTCACAATAAATTATATATTTACCCTGAATCTCTGAGTTTTTAGAGAACTCACAGAAATGAGGTGATGATTACTAATAAATAAAAGATTCTTACAAAAAAATTACATAATTTGGTCATCTTTACGTTTCTCTGGGACTTCCTGTGAATTCTTGACCTGAATCTCAGCATTTGAAGTTGTAAAGTTGAGTTTAAGAACGTCTAAATTTGGTGGTTTAGTGTGTGACGCGATAATAAAAAGTGTAATAAATCCTAAAATCTATTCTATATTTTTAGGAAGCCAGAGACGGCAGCTGAAGTTGTGCGGTCATAGTTTACAATTAAAGAAAACACAATTTTTATGTATGAGCAAGTGTGGAAGGAGCGTTCCTAAGCACAGTGAGACGGCCACCCGGGAGACATGAATCAGAGTGGAGTGAGTATGAAATGATTAGTAACTCTACTGGAGTATTGGATGATTACGCTCCGATGAGATCGGAGGCCTCTCTTCGGTCTGTGATCAACTGGTCAGTCCCGACGCAGCGCTTTGGTGATAGACTCATTAAAAAATACACTTAAGAGAGCCTGAGCCCAGACCTGTGTCTGAGAGGAGGAAGGTTTGAAAAGAGGAGCAGCGAGGCGGAACGGGAGGCGACTCCGCCTGGTATTAAACTGCTGCATGTGTGCATCTTCCAGCTTCACCTGCTGTGACACCAAACCTCCAGGAGCCATCTGCTCCTCTTGTTTTATCTCTCTGAGCAACCGGCAGGGCCAGAAGGATCCAGCAAACAAAGAGTCCAGAAAACAGGCTGAGACCCGTCGTGTTAGACACCACCTACGGGACTTTGTTTTTATTTCACTGTCTACATGCTGTGGAGAACAACAATGTGCTGCTGGCAATACAAGTCCAAACAGATGAAAGCATCTTAGAACAAGCTTAATTTGATCATTTATTAGAGGATTATCAAAAGAAACTGCAGGCCACCTTTTGAGCCCTAGAGGATTAAAGATCTTATTCACTTGTTTTGTCAATAAATCAGCTGTAGTCTGTAATCCAAATGACTGCAAGTTGTTCTTGGTGGAGAAAAAGCTCTGGCGCTCTTGTTTCAGGAAGTAGAAGTTATGAGTGGGGGACGGAAAACAGCAGGATTTGGAGTCTTATTCAATGTACTCAGCTATCGAACATCTCAACTCTGATTGGCTAATGTCATTGCGACTCTTCCACTGCCTCCATTCTCTCTGCAATGTTTTATCTCCATAAATACCACACACCCGAAGGAATTCAGCTGTATTATGGAGCTGCTAATGCTAACGGTTAGCTTCTGTCAGCTGACATGTGCTCTGCTCTCTACTGGATGGTAAACCAACAACAGCTTTCCCCGCCGCGAGCCAAGATGGGTGAGAAGCACCTGAATCAGCATACAGAAGTCTGCTGGAGCAGTGAGTGACATGGAGCCTTATTTCCTGATGTTTAGACATCTCGTCTCTGATTGGATAACAGCAAAACAACTCCACCCCTGACTCTCAACCCTGTTGTTTTATCTCCACTAATAACACAAACCTGGAGGAGCTTCTGCCGTGTGGTGGAGTTGCTAATGCTAACGGTTAGCTTCTAATAGTTGAGACATTTCCTTCTGTTTCCTGAATGCTAAACCAACAGCAACCTTCCCCGTCGTGACTCCATGAATGTTAAGTGACAGTGTAACGTAGATCGGTCAGGCTTTTCTAATCCTAGAGTTTCACCGTCTGTTTTCTATCAGAAGCTAATGCTTAGGTAGGTGTAGGAGACTATTTTCATGTTCAGCCTGCATGAAAACCTAGAGTGACCCATTAGAATCACAAATAATAATTAAATGTTTTTTCAGTGATTCACTCCTTTAAAAATAACAAGTAAAAATGGTTTCTCAGTGAACCTGTTTTTCACTAAACTGCATGTAAACGGTAGTCGGTATTTGTATAGGGTTTTTGGTTGGTTGGTTCATAAACCAGGCTTAAGCTTCTACAACCCCCCCAAGGCACTTCACAACACAATAAGTCATTCACCCGTTCACACACACATTCAAAGCAACTCAAATGTCTGCAGAAAAACAATTTGAAAAGGAAATATTATCTCAGTAAATGCAAAAAAAATCCAAACAAACATGAAAAACGAACAAACAAACAAACCCTGCCTACTCTGTGCCATAATGCAGAATGTTTGATGGACCGACACTTGTGCATTTAGCTGAGATCACCATACAATCCTAAATATGACCTCATAACAGCGACAGATCAAAGCTCTGGCAATTGCCACTGCACACTAAACACAAGCTGCAGCTAACGTCATAAAACTTCCTTTCCTCCGGGGCCAACAGCTCCCACCTCAGCAATATAAAAGTGTTTTGTCTCTCAGATCCTCCACAAACAATCTTGGTGGGATTCACACATCGCCTGTGGGGGATTGGAGGTGTGCTTTGGATGAAGAAGGCCCCTGGAAGCAGCACGGCGTGTTAAGACAACGAGCCATAAGGATGTCCATCTGTCAGCGAGTGAACCGGAGCAGCGAGACATAAAACAATTCAGCTGTAATTTGGTTTCAGGCACAGCAGATTTGGGACGAGAGCAGGTCGCTGTAGCTGAGGCAGAGTGAACATCAGCAGCAGCATCATTTGCAGCGTGGTGTCACCTTTTTCTCTCTCCGCTACAATCATCACATGCACACAAACGCACGCTCACAGCGGGGAAACCTCCATCAGACACCCACGCAGAGGCGTGTTTTAAAAGTGTTACGAGACACAAGCTGCAACCAAGAAGCCCAGCGAGAGGAGTCCCACTGAGAAGAGCGAGAGGGGGAGAGAAAAAAAGGGGAGGAGTGGGTGAGAAAATAAGGTGTCAAACAGAAAGTACAAAGAAATTGAGGATTTTTTCTGCTTAAATTAGAACAAAGTGTCTGAGCATGAGATGTAAACAGCAGCTGAGCACCACAAAGCTCTGGCTGCTGCAGCCAACAACAAAACTTGCTCTCTGCTGACCCCTGACATGTGGACACCTGGGTCTGTATTTCCACATGGGAACACCACCAGCAGGAGGGAGGGGGGTTGGACACTTCTGTTTACACATTATTAAGTGAAGCATGCAAACTAATTATATGAACCTCAAGTTTCTCTCCTCCCACACCTTTTCCCGGAGCGGAGCAGTGTGCCAGCCCCGATCAGACAGATGCAGCCACGTCTGACAGCATTGAGGATAAGTTTCACACCGCCGTGGTGAAAAAAGATGGGTGGTTGGCATTTGTCTCATTCAGAATGAGAGAAGGAAAGAGTGTGGCTCGTGCAGAAGATGTTCTGATTTAATCTAATGCAGAATCTCAGGTTTTATGTGTGCATTCAGTACAAAAAAGGACAATATGAAAAAAGTATGGGGTGAGTGTCAACGAAATAGATGTTTTTTTTTACTTCCCTCTTCCTTATTTGGTAATCAGACACACCATTAAAACATGGCTTCTCTATTGGTTGACTTATTAATCAACATATCAGTGATGAAGGTAAAACATGGCTTTTTTCAGTGTATTTGCCTTTTAAATGCAGTGTGTGAATTGAAGCTTTTACTCTAAATCTGCTGTTCTTACGGATTTTACTCAAAACTTCAAGAAAGAAAAGCTTTTATGTCGTTTTAATTAGATTGAAATAAATCTTAAATTTTCGAATAAATCGAATCTTTTCCGAATTGAAATGTGGTGTTTTCAACGTTTTAAATACTACTTGAACAATAACCCAACTAAAACATTTTATTATCACAGAAAATCTAAACAGAGTCCCCGCGTGCTCGTTTGAGCCTCACAGAAAAAACAAAACATGTACACATCTATGCTGGATTTAGAAAAGATCATTTCCTACTTTGTTTTGTCGCTTTTGATTCGGTTCCGTTTTGAAGCAGCAGATGAGTCACGCGGCTCCAGGTCCTACTCAAGCAGCTGTACCTCTGCGCTCCGCTCCCCGGGATGATGTGCCGAACATCCGGACTCTCTCCTCCCTCTTAGGGGAGGAGAGGCACCAGCTCCGCGCGCGCTCGCGAGCGCGCGTCAGCGCCAAACTGGTGCCGGTAAAGTTTGTGTTGTGGGAGGAAAGAGGTCAAAGGTGAGTAGGTGACCGGGGCAATCTCCAGAGAAATGGAGCTGGTTGAGGTTGATACAGACTTACTGAAGTAAGGATTGAATCATTACATCGTTTAACCCTCCTCCTTGAACCTTCACCTTATCGTGGTGGAGGAGTTTGAGTGCCCTAATGATCCTAGGAGCTATGTTGTCTGGGGCACTTTGTGCCCCAGGTAGGGTCTCCCATGATAAATGGGTCTTATTTGAAGGGTGAGACAAAGAACGTTTCAGAAGATCTTTCATGGACGTTAAAACAAAGAGTCGGAGTACCCGGCCCGGAGGGTTACCGGGGTCCCACCCTGGAGCCAGGCCTGGGGTTGGGGCCCGTGAGCGAGTGCCTGGTGGCCGGGCTTTTGCCCATGGGGCCCGGCCGGGCCCAGCCCGAACCGGATACATGGGCTCATCCAACTTTGGACCCACCACCCACAGGAGGAACATGAAGGGTCCGGTGCAGTGTGGATCGGGTGGCAGACTGAGGTGGGAGTCTTGGTGGTCTGATCCCCAGACAAGGAAACTGGTTACTGGGACATGGAACGTCATCTCGCTGTCGGGGAAGGAGCAGGAGCTTGTGGCAGAGGTTGAGCGGTACCGGCTAGATATAGTCAGACTCACCTCGACACATAGCATTGGCTCTGGAACCCAAGTCCTTGAGAGGGGTTGGACACTCTCCTTTGCAGGAGTTGCTCCGGGTGAGAGGCGGAGGGCTGGGGTTGGCTTTTTGATAGCCCCAAGACTCTCTGCCTGTGTGTTGGGGTTTACCCCGGGGGACGAGAGGGTAGCTTCCCTGTGCCTTCGGGTCAGGGAACGGGTCCTGACTGTTGTTTGTGCTTATGCGCCAAACATCAGTTCAGATTCCCCAACCTTTTTGGAGTCCCTGGGACGAGTGCTAGATAGTGCTCCATCAGGGGACTCCATTGTCCTGCTGGAGGACTTCAATGCTCACGTTGAACTCGAGTGGTGTTTCGTTATTGGACTTCTGTGCAAGCCGCAGTTAGGCCATAACGAACACCATGTTCGAACATAAGGATGCCCTTCGGTACACTTGGTACCAGGGCAGCCTAGATCGCAGGTCGATGATAGACTTTGTAGTCGTATCATCTGAGCTGCGACCTCTTTTGGACACCCGAGTGAAGAGAGGAGCGGAGCGGAGCTGTCAACTGATCACCACATGGTGGTGAGTTGGATCAGATGGCAGGGGAAGATGCCGCGTAGACCTGGCAGACCCAAACACATAGTGAGGGTCTGCTGGGAATGCTTGGCAGAAGAACCTGGTAAGACGGTCTTCAGCTCCCACCTCCGGCAGAGCTTTGACCGTGTCCCGAGAGCAGTGGGGGACATCGACTCCGAGTGGGCCCTGTTCCACTCAGCAATTGTTGAGGCGGCTGTTGCTGGCTCTGGTCGCAAGGTGGCCGGTGCCAGTCGTGGTGGCAACCCCCATACCCGCTGGTGGACACCAGAGGTTCGGAGAGCCGTCAGGCTGAAGAAGGAGGCCTTCAGGGTGTGGATGGTCTGTGGGTCTCCGGAGGCAGCAGACGGGTACCGGATAGCCAAGCGGGGTGCAGCAGTGGCATTTGCTGAGGCAAAATCTCGGGGAGCATGAGTTTGGTCCGCATAGCTGGTAGTAAGTCTGACCTGTTCCCGGTGAGGGTTGAACTCTGCCAGGGTTGCCCTTTGTCCCCGGTTCTGTTCATTACCTTTATGGACAGAATTTCTAGGAGCAGCCGTGGTGTGTCAAGTTTGGTGGCAGGAGAATCTCGTCTCTGCTTTTTGCGGATGATGTAGTCCCCCTAGCTTCATCCAGCTCTGACCTTCAGCTCTTGCTGGGTAGGTTTGCGGCCGAGTGGGAAGCGGCTGGGATGAGGATCAGCACCTCCAAATCTGAGACCATGGTTCTCGACCTGGAAAGGGTGGCTTGCCGACTCCAGGTCGGGAGAGAGGTCCTACCTCAAGTGGAGGAGTTTAAGTATCTCTGGGTTTAGTTCACGAGTGAGGGTAGGAGGGATTGGGAGATTGACAGGCAGATTGGTTCGGCGTCTGCAGTATTCCGGACGCTGAGCCGATCTGTCGTGGTGAAGAGGGAGCTGAGCCAGAAAGCCAGGCTCTCGATTTACCGCTCGATCCAAGTCCCAATCCTCACCTATGGTAATGAGCTTTGGGTAGTGACCGAAAGAATGAAATCGCAAATACAAGCGGCCGAAATGAGTTTCCTCCGTAGGGTGGCCGGGCTCAGCCTTAGAAATAGGTTGAGGAGCTTGGACATTCGGGAGGGAGTCGGAGTAGAACCGCTGCTCCTCCGGATCGAAAGAGCCAGTTCAGGTGGTTTGGGCATCTGGTCAGGATGTCTCCTGGACCCCTCCCTGGTGAGGTGTTTCAGGCATGTCCTACCGACAGGAGGCCCCCGGGTCGACCCAGGACACATTGGAGAGGTTACATCTCCAATCTGGTCTGGGAACGCCTTGGGGTGCTGCGGAGGAACTGGTGGAGGTGGCTGGGGAGAGGACGGTCTGGAGCTTCCTAGTTGGGATGCTGCCCCCGCGACCCGGACCCGGATAAGCGGAGGAAGATGACGATGACAATTTTAACCAGAAATTCACTTTTTTAATAGTCAGCCAGAGTCAGAAAGCATTTAAAAAGTTATTATTGTAATAATAACAATAACAATAATAATAATAAAAAATGTTGTTATTATTATTATTATTATTGTTATTATTATTATTATCATCTCTGCTTAATGTCAATGATCTGATCCTTCTCACACGGACTAACATCTTCTCCGTGACCACCAGATGTGTCTTTCCACATGGTTGTTTAGGAAATGAGAAGCAGCTCATTGCACCAGTTGGGTTAAATAACTTTTTGCAGCTGAAGGATCGCCCTGCAGTAATTATCCAATTGGAGGCTCGTACCTATAAGCGTAGTTAAATTCAGGAGGCCATTGTTGTTGGCCGAGCAATTTATTATATTATTAGTTTGATGATGATGATGATGATGATGACATATTATATTATATTATATTATATTATATTATATTATAGTACAGCATAGTTTATAGTATAATATAGTGTATTATGGTATAGTACAGTGTGCCATAAATGTAGCGTGATGAACCTGACATGATTTACACTACAACAGTAAGGTATATAGCATATCATTGCATAGTATAATATAGTATAGTATATAGCATAGTATAGAACAGTATAGTATAGTGTATTATAGTATAGTAAAGTATATAGTATAATATAGTATAGTACAGTGTAGTACAGTACAGTATAATATAATGATAAATGACCCACACATGTATAGCGCCTCTCAGAGTAAGGACTCCAAAGCGCTTTACACTACAGTGTATCATTCATCCATTCACACACACATTCACACACTGATGGTGATGAGCTATGATGTAGCCACAGCTGCCCTGGGGCACACTGACAGAGGCGAGGCTGCCGAGCACAGGCACCACCGGTCCTTCCGACCACCACCAGCAGGCAAGGTGGGTTAAATGTCTTGCCCAAGGACACAACAGCAGAATTCTCTGTCCGGAGCCGGGATCGAACCTACAGCCTTCCGATTACTGGACAACCCGCTCAACCTCCTGACCTACTGCTGCCCCGATAGTATAGTATAGTATAGTATAGTATAGTATACATCATCTCCAGATTGAAGCTTTATGTACACCCTAGAGAAAAAGTAGGTCCAAATATATAATTTCCTCCAGAATTAAATGCATTATTAAATAATGAAAAATAAATAGACTCATAAAATTCAGCAGAGTTTGGATTTTTTTTAAGATAGATAACCTCTGCAGTGAAAACACTGCCTGAATCTTTCATGAGAGAACATCTGCAGAACCATGAGTCTGTTGTGATGGCAGGTTTAATACTGTAGATTGACTGAATTATTGTGCATTAATCCCTTCAGAGGCAAGCGTGACATTTAGAAATGTTGTTCTGAGAGAAATGTGCCCATTATTAATAGAAGTGAACAAGCTTTATGAAGAAACTAGTCACAAAGAGGGACTGAGTCTGCTGACAGAAGATAACAAATGCTCCAGAAGCTGTCTGACATGAATATTTATTGTCTTACTTTGGGAGGGGTCAAGTGTGTGCTCTGACGTATAATCTGTGTATAAAAGTATTCCGCTTTATTTAGGAATGTGTTAATGTTCCCTTTGACGATTTTTACTCTTTTAACAAAAGGGAAAACAGGAAGACATCTTTTTATCGGCTTCAAGTTGATGGTTCCACGTATTGCTCATTAAATCGTCCGTGTCAGACACATCTGAGCTGCTATGCAGAGTACGGTGACATTTAGACGGGACCCCTGCAGCTTCTCTGTGACAAAATAAGGTTCTTTAAAAGATCATTATGGGATACTGTGACACTTTAATGGAAACCAAAAGCCTATTTTGTATGAACATGTTGTCACACTCCTGGATTTGGCTGCAGTATCTGCAATGGCAGGTGCTTCAAGTTTGCTTCACTGTACAAAAGCCAAAGGGGTTGCTGTTTTATTTTATTTTAATTTTGGGTGGATGGTTTGATTTCTGGAAAACTCGGGCTGTTATTATCTCTCTTTTAAAAAAAATGAAAATTCAATCATACGTGGGATCATTACCTTTGGGGAGGCTATATCCTGTGTTATTGTGACAGGAAAAAAAAAACAATTAGGCTGCCGAAGAATCCAAAACAATCCTCCAAACAAGTTTGCTCAGTTTAAAAGTAAAAAATGAATAAACAAATAAACTTCAAAAAAGAAGTTGAAAAAAATCATGCTAAATGCAATCGACCATTGGTGTGTATGCGTCACAAAATAATATTAATTATAATATGCCTAAATTAATTGTAGCAAAATCCATTTTTGCACAAATTACTGTGTAGTACACATATAACCTGTCTGTCTGTCACTTGTGCACATCCTTGTGCGCTCACAGACACAGTTTGCTCCCTCTCAGTGTACAAACGACCTCCTCGCCATGTATATTTTCACTCGAGAGGTTCTAACTTCCACGCGCGAGTCCCGTTCGCACGCTCGATGTGGACAATACGTGTGCACGGGTTTTGGCGTGATTCTGACGCCATACTCTCTGCCTTTTCTCTGCTCTTTTCCTCGACACCCCCCTCCCCCTTGCTGTTTGTGTGTGTGTGTGAACATATGGTGTGAACCAGTTGTTAATAGCTGGCCTATGACTTTCTGCCTCTCTGTCCTGTTTGCTGCGGTTGAAAGACACCCAAAACCACACCCCCTTCACGTGGTCACACACACACACACACACACACACACACACACACACACACACACACACACAAGTTTGCTGTGTGTGTGTGTGTGTTTGTGTGGTTTTTATGCAGTGTCTGTTTACGAACACATTTGACTATCGTGTAATTGTATTTTGAAATGCTTTATTTTGTTAAATTTACCGGCCTGCCTCTTATGTCTAGGTTTGACTTCCTGCCAGAATTGAGGCGATTCACCCGCGGCTCGCGAAAAAAATAGAGCAGGCGCCGAAACAATCGCTGCACGGCGCGGCGCTTCGGCGGCCCATGTGGTCTATAGAATAGGATAACAGTGGCGCCGAATGAAGCCGGTCCCAATTTCGCGGTGCTTCGGTGGCCAGGGTGCCCACGGCCTACGTTTCCTTCCAACACGATTAAGACACTAGACTGTTTTGGGATTATTTCACTGTAGAAATCTTACTTTATTCTTACACACGGCACCTTTAAGTAAAACAGGTTAGTGATCATTATTATATGGCTAAGAAAACAATGAACACACAAACTGCAAAGAGCACATTTGGCAGATATGATGTCTTTATTATATTCCTGTGCTCATACTGGCAGTTCACTGTTGCATCAAGGGCAACCAATCAATCCAAATGGCTGTTATTGTTAGTAAAGTGACAAAAGATTCAGCTGCAATGTGTTAAAATCAATGCTAAAAAAGTCTTTAGAAATCTTTGTTTACTGTAACTCTCATAATTAGTGTTGTGCAAACAGTTGCAGTCAATGCCGCTCTGTTTTCTCAGGGCCTGTGGTATCTGTGTGTCTATAATTAGAAAGTTATACAGAGGATTAAAAAAAGAGGATAATGTGTGCCTCGACAGCTGCGGGAACAAGTCCTATTAAAGTGTCTTTGTGACACGGCACAAACGTATTCAAAGGGTGTCTGCTTTCAGTAAACTCATTCATCTGGCGCTGAAGCCAAATTACACGTAATTAGAATTATAGCTGCAGCCAGAGCTGAGCGGCCTTCACGACCTTGGTGGTGCTCCAGCATATGCTGCAGCTGATGACCCTGAGACACCTCCTCATGTCAAATCTAGTCCAAACATGACATCATGCATGGGAGTTAAAGGGAACATATTATGACTTTTTTTATTAAGTTATAATAGTTCTGTGGTCGACACCAAACATTTTTTTTAAATTATGAAAATAGAAAAAATGCTGGAAGTGCTGCAGGGGTGTAAGAAATTTTATCTGGTGCTCTCACTGGTGCTCTTCAGCCAAGGGATCCATCTCTCTGGGATCAAGCTTCTTCTCTGGCTCTGGTCGGGCAAAAGGAGATCTGAGGCACTCAGGAGATGCAAAATTAAAAAGCCGACGCGTTTCCTTGCACAAAATCTCTCTAACATGAAGAGATTTCAGCAGTTTGATTCTTAATATTTTCATTACCATCCAGAATGACCCATTTCAAGGCTCCGTCACTTTAAGAAACGTGCTGGAACTGGCCACGCCCACCCATTATCCTCTCAGGCTGCCAAAAGCTGAGAACTCTGATATGTGGGAGGGGCTTGGAGTAGAGCTTTCCTCTGTTTGTGACATCACAACCTTTTTGAAATGGTTCATTTTAAACACATAATTCCTAAACAAATGCTGACAGAAAACAGATGGACATATTTTTCTCATATTTTAAGTGTTTACAGAGGCCGTAGACCCACATAGTAGCACAAAAAAAAAAGCAAAAAGGTGAGTTGCTTGTTAACGTTGACCCAGTTTTACTTATTGAACCGATACCAACATGTTAACCCTTTGATGCATGAATTATGAAATCTTCAACCATGATTTTTTTTAACAAATTTTTTTCATTCATCTTTAGGTGTGAATGAAACTATTTTCATATTTACATATTTTTTGTAACATTTAATTTACACATAGTTTATTACATGTCCATCTCAGTGGACAGCGTGCATTCTGAACATGAAATATGTTGGCTTGACTTAATGAAGTCCAAATGGAGGGGCTCAAATGCAATAAAGTCTTCAGCAGCTGTGCTCAATAGCAAAACAAAAAACAAACAAAAACAAAAAATATTTTGGGTACCTGTCCACTGTAATGACCATAATGCATCAAAGGGTTCAAAAACGACCAACATCGGCAGATACCGATATTGACACATTGTGCATCCCTAAACAACACACTCACAAGCAGGCTATTTGTAAACAGATGTCTGTAAAAACCCAGAAAAAGGTCAGGTTTTGAAAAGTGCTTCGGTGTGTTTGCCAGTCTGAGGGATAAATGGATGAAAAAGCAGAAGGACCTCCTGCTGCGCCTCCTCATGCATTATCAACTCCCAGCTCCTCAGCAGGAGCCAAACATTGCATACCAGGGTGTCGAGCTTTGATTCTGCCAGGAGCAGGTTAGCTTTTTAATATGGGGCAGCATTTTTTATTTCCCAACAGAGCTGAAGACTCCCAACTCACCCACAAATAGAATTGAACACACACACACACATTTGCATGGCTACACTTCATTTTAGTGCCTGCATTTTGCCTAACGCTAACCTTGATAACTAACCTTGGTTAAAATACATTACAAATGAGAATGGGCAACGATGTGAGTAAAGGTGTATGGGAATATATAATTAATGATATTGACAAGAATTGTTAAATTGTCTAGACTACCATTATTATTATTATTGTTATGATTTTCTTTGGTCATAAGGTTGTTGAATTTGAGTTTTTTCTACATTTTGAATGTTAAACTAATAGTGAAAAATAAGGGTGGGCTTCAATAAGCTTGGCTTCCGCCCACTCCCTTTCGAACATGCCTACAATGTCAACTTGATTTATATCCTGTTGTTAATTGTGATATTATTGGCATGTTGGAAATAAATAAATGATGATGAACCTTAACCCCAAATAAGAGTTCATTCACACCAAACCTCCAAACGTTTTAGGGCTTTTTTCATTGTGGGGACCAGTCAACATCCCCATGCATGTTAAACATGGAAAAATGTCCCCAAAATATAGTACAAAGAACACACACACACACACACACACACACACACACACACACACACACACACACACACACACACACACACACACACACACACACACACACACACACACACACACACAATACTGATTTTTTTTACTGTTTATTTAAAACCCGATTGTCTGCAGAACAATACACAAGCATTGTGCCTGGTGTGCTTAAGTGAAGATTTATAGAGTATGTACAAATGCACACACACACACACACACACACACACACACACACACACACACACACACACACACACACACACACACACACACACACACACACACACACACACACACACACACACACACACACACACACACACACACACACCCCTGTATATCATATATGTACAAATGACATATTGAACACTGTGATATGATTCTGTCATCGTAAAGGTATTTGATCAAATTCTGCTTTGAATTCTGATATTTTCAATGACATTATACATAAAGACACTTCACCGCCACAACATCAACTGGAGGTGCTCCAGTTTCACTGACGATGGATTCTGGTGTATAACGACACATCTCAGATAAATCTGATTCAGACGACACCTGGCCTGAAATCTGTGGAGTTCATTCTGACACCAAGCACCTTCGAAATAGTGATAGTAAAAATAAATCTACATAGTAGAATACTGCCACCTTGTGTAAGAAATAAATCACTGCGATAAAGTGCTGCATCTCTCTGGGATCAAGCTTCTTCTCTGGTTCTAATTAAACCTCAATTAAAGGCTACAGAAAGCTACAAGTTACAGCAACAACAAAAAAATCAATTAATATCCTGGCAGCCATGGAAAATGGTTTAATTTCCTGATTTGCAAAAAAAAACCCAAAAAACATTGAATTTGCTTTTAACTTGAATTAAAATCCATCTGAGTAAAGGATGCGTGCATCACATCAGGCTTAAGGCACATTAAATGTACTTTAAATTAATAATGGATGAATTCTGTGTGAATTTATCTCCAGTACACACACCAGCCACTTATTTTCCCTAAATGTACGGCAGTTGTGTTGGCAGCATCCTGATTATTGAGGAGTACACATGTATTATTTTTATGCTTAACTCCTGTTTTCAGAGCCCAGGTAGTGAAAACTTCCCATCAGTTGAAGGAGAATGCGTCTCCGAACAGAAACGCCCAATAAAAATCAGTAATGTAGAAAAAGAGAGATTATAAAATTCTCCTCTTAATGATCTCCAATTAAAACAATCATGTGTTCACCCAGTTCTAATACACAATCCCAGTCTTTACATTCAGAGCTGCTCTCCCGCATCAAATCCAGTCTGACGAGCATCGCCGCGTTCGCTACGGCGTCAGAACAGCGGCTTCCTGACTGGGTTTTCCAGCCGGAACCTCATACTTGAAAACGACGCTGAAGAGCTTTCCACCAAGCCGGTCGGCAAGCCACGAGTTCTTAATAACGGCCAACTTGAGGCTCTCGCAGCTGAGCGTGGCGAAGTAGTTGGTGTGGATGGCACGGCCCATTCCCTCAATGATCACCAGGTCGGTTTTCCGCTCACGCACCACCATCGCCAAAGCTTTGTCCAGGCGACTAGAGAACCATAAAGGAGAATAAAACACTTTGGATACTCTCACTTATTATTATAAATCAGCCAAGCTGAAGAAAAGTAACTGAGTCACACAGTGTTTCACTTGCAGTAGGAGATGTTTTTCTGGAGCCATGATGCTTTAAATAGTCTTCACATACCAATGGCAAACAATAAATTAAACGTACAATCGTAGAAAACCCTCGAATCTTGGTGAACGTTACGTTCTCAATGATTGAATCCTGATCCATTCATCAAATCGCTTTTCAAATTTGAACCCACAATCTCCCAGTTCCAGAGTGGACACCGGGAGATTGTGGGTGAAGGGTACCGCACCATCATCAGGGTTGGGCATCGTTTGATTTTGAACAATTCCGATTCCAATTCCTCATTTTGATTCCGGTTTCTATCGATTCCCGATTCCGATTCTTTCAAGACATGACATGTTTTACATGAGCCAGCTAACCACAGGTCCTACTTGATGAAATAATCTCAACTTCAACATGAATTTTAATTCTATGAACAATAACATCACCTTCATTTAGACAAATACGTGTTTTGGAGAAAAAAAAAAGAAAGAGACTTGCAGCACAACCAGTGTGTTTGTTTCTGACCACCACCAAAGTCTGGAAGCAGCCTCTGGGATGAGAGGCTAAATATATTTTTAACCATTTTCTAAATTATTTTTTATATTTTTACATTGTTTGTTTTTGTGAAGCACCTCGTGATTTTTATTGGAGAGGCACTATAGAAATGATATTTTCTTCTTCTTCTTCTAAATGTTTTGTTTATATCTGGGTGGGGGGTGGGGGGACTCGGTGCTGCACACAGACAGCTGGTGTGATCAGCTCTGAAAAGCCTTGATCATAATTTGCAGATCACGTTTATTTTTCACGGAGATCGGCCTCTTCCGGTCGGCATTCTAGGAATCGAAACAAGGAATCGGAAAAAAAAACCTGAACGATTCCGATAAAAACTAACAGTTGGAACCGGTTCCAATTGGTGCTCGATGCCCAACCCTAACATTTACTGAACATATGATTAAAAAAATGCTATCAAAGATATCTTCATTAAAAAACCAACCTCAGATCCAAACAGGGGGAACTGGAACCATTCTGGACTAACGTCAGCCTGTCGTCTCTCAGGCCAGACCTGCGCACCAACAAACAGCAGTTTTATTAAAGTTTGGTGCAATAATCAGAATATGATAGAAAAACGAAGTCATTTCACACTGACTGAATGACAGGGTCCATGGCAGCGATCCTTTCTGTAAGAATCTGCAGTTCGCCATTGGTGACGTCGTTTAAGGCTGGACCAGAGTTACTGGCCAACACCACCTGAAGATTTAAAACATCATTTAAATTTAGGACACGCCCCAATAGGAGCATTGTGTTCTTACTCCTCACCTCAGTTCCTCGAGAGAGAAGCTCTCTGACGAGGGGCATCACCCCGAGAATGATGTCCACCCCGCTATTATCTACGAAAAGCAAGGCACACTTGTGAGGGGGACCCTGCAACAGAAAACCAGGAATAATGTGTTAATAAAACACATTATTCCTCAAGAGAATGAAACAGACACTATTTGAAAGAGAATATAAAAAATATTAAATAAAACAGCGTTCATTCCTGCCGTACAGACCAGCAGCCTGTAAAGAGTCTGACCTTTAGCCTCTCGAGCCACTGGTCATAGGAGTCAACAAGCCACGGCCGCTCTGAGGGGAAGAACAACAGTGTGTATGACGAACAGTTCATCCAAAAATCATTTCACAGGGTTTGTAAATAAATATACACACACATATGCATCTAAGTCTCCCTTTTACATAATCACAGGGAAACTACTGGTGGGTCTTTGTCCATCTGCATGACTGTTGAGCCCCCTTCAGACAGGCCATGAAAAACGGAAATGTTCCGGACTCTGTCCGTAAGACCTTTGTGTCTGAATACAAACATCCGGATAACGTGTTCCAGAATTTATCCGGACGAAGCCCCTAGTAACAGGTCCGGACTTGTTACGGACAGGGTGGCTGCTTCAGACTGGTGAGGTAGAGTTCCGGACAAGGGGGAGGGGGAGGAGGGGACCGGGGGACGCTGTGCGCTCCTATAGCCCGCTCCTGTAGCATACGGCGAACCATGGCAGCTCGCCTCCTACGGTACCGTCTAGACACGCGACGGAGCGCTTCACACCGCTTCAGTGATTCCTTTAACCATTGAGCTTCATCATCCAGGTGTCTTATGCGTCTTCGTGTGCGCAGAATTATGCTTAAGCGCCTCGTGATTTTTATCTTGAGAGGCACTATAGAAATTATATTTTCTTCTTCTTCTTCTTAACATAAGTCCGATTCTCTCCCCCCCACCCCCGCCGCCGTCAGACATCTGGAACTTTTCCCCGCTGTGTGAACGCAGCCGAAAGGACAAGTTCCGGTACAAAAGTGATGTGTCTGAAAGCACAGTTCCGGTTAAAAACCGGATTGAATTGTCCACAAATGTTCCAGAATGTCTATCTGAAAAGGGCTTTGCATGACGGTCCAAATGTTGAAATTTGTTTGCGATTATGTCATGACGCCCCCATGACCTGACAGTAAAGAGAACTTCTTGCCAAAGAGCCGTACGTGTACCAATTTTTTCTAAAAAAAACAGCCAATTTTCTCACAATTTTGCATCTCAAACAAGCAAAATGAAATAGAAACCTTAAATTCCCTAAGAGACTGTTTTTTACTTGTTATTTTTAAAGAAGACTGGCTCTTCACATGTAGGCCCAATGTGAAAATAGTCTTCTACCCCTTTTCCCGCATTACCGCCGACAGAAAATAGACGGGGAAGACTCAGATTGGAAAAGCCTGTCAATTCTACATCCGACAGAAAATTAGCATTCGTGGACTCACAATATTTGCTGCCTGGAATAGGCAGAGCACGTCTTGACTTGTGGAAGCTAACCGCTAGCATTAGCAACTCCACAGCACAGCATAACAAATATTTCCTGCTACTTCAGCTGTTAACTTCAATTTCTCCCCAGAAGAAGCTACAATGGTGTTCTGCTGAGGGCCATCAGCTAGCACTCTGCTGCTAACCACTCAAACATCCTCCCTCTCCTGATAATAACATTTTACTGTCTTTGACATTGAGTGTGCTACTACTAGTTTACCTGTTTAACTATAGATTCACTAGGATAAATACAATAATAATAATAATAATAATAATAATACATTTTATTTCAAAGCGCCTTTCAGGACACCCAAGGTCACTTGACAGAAAACACGTAATAAAATACAATAAAACAATAATAAAACCCAAACAAGAAAAAACAAAGAGAGAAACAGTTCAATAAAATCAGAGGTTGTAAGCAGATTTAAACATGGGTGTTTTGAGTTTTGACTGGAAAAGGGTAAAACTGTCGATGTTCCTGATGTCTGGGGGAAGTGAGTTCCAGAGACGAGGAGCAGAGCGGCTGAAAGCTCTGCTCCCCATGGTACAATGAAGTTCATCTGTTACTAAATAGAATGTGTGTATGTGTGTGTGTGTGTGTGTGTGTGTGTGTGCGTGCGTGCGTGCGTGCGTGCGTGTGTGTGTGTGTGTGTGTGTGTGTGTGTGCTGTCCTCCCCATCCCCAGTGAGTCGTGGCGGATGGCTGCTAATAGTGAGCCAGGATTCTCTGGAGGTTTCTTCCTGTTAAAAGGGTTTTGAGATGACTCTTGTCGTGATTTGGCGCTATAGAATTAAAACTGAATTGAACTGAGACCAGTGTCAATGTGCTGAGTAAACCTAGTGAACTTGATCTTTAATATGATGTAAAAGTAATCCAGTGTGATTTCCTCATTTTTTCAATAGTTAGCATGCTGTGGTCTCTAATAGGAATGGATGCCCCGTGAGTCGTTTTTGTGAAATGTTTGAAGCACTTGGATACCTTCCAGCTGGCGTTTAGCTTGCTCAAATCCAAACTCAGGATCAGATTCCAGAACACTGCAATGATTAGGGAAATAGGAAAAAGTTAAATGTGTACAAAAATGGCCATCAACCTAAAAAAAATTCTAAATGAATCCATTACAGTCGATAAGTTGATCCAAACCGGCCGCAACACTAAACATGAAATTGGGTTACACTTTTGTCGCGAGACGCTTCTGGGATGTGTCACTTTCTGCTGTTAACAAAGGGCTAGACAGGAAATCACACATGCTATCAGCGTAAAATGTCTGGAAATTTTCTAAATGAAAGACAACTGCAGAGATGCCATTTCTTTTTTATGCAGATAACATCAAAACATGTGACTCATTTACTCCCAGCATCTTACAAGACGTGTTTATTCAAGGGTTTAATCCTGGCAGTGGAGAGGCACGACGTTATATATGACATCAAACTGGGATGTCAAGTGTGTCTGCACGTCTGAGACACTCCCCTGGTGTGGACTGATGTGTTGCAAACCACGCGAGTAAAACAGTCCTCTGCTGTTATGCCTCTAGTGTTGATTGTGGGTAAGTAACTCTGATCATGTGACCTAATCTCATTATTAAAAATAATAGCTAACCAATTTATGTCTACTGACAGAATTCAGAGAACAGATTTTGAGCTCACTCCGACACGGCCTTGGCTCCCCAGTCAAAAACATTCCCGGCCAGGACGCCCCTGACCAGAGCAAACTGTCTGTCCTCCCAGCTCAGCTCCTCCAAGGACTTGACGACCTTCTGGTAGTACTTCAGAGCCACGTCGTTCTCCCTCTCTTTAATCTAAAGATAAAATCAAGTCAAACAAAAAATTACTCGGGCATAACGTCACACTGAGAACACAAAAAGAAAGCGTTACACAGTCAGGATCAGTGACGGTTAAATCGGAAGAACATCAGACGGATTTCACTCAGACCTTCGAGTACGGATCAGGAAAGTTGAACTCGTTTAAACAGTGTTCCCTCGTGTCTAACAGACTTCTGACAGTGAGGGATCCATAAGCACTAGAGAAGAGAAGCACTCTACATTAGCCTCAGAAAAACAGAAACAGATGACAACAGCTGATTGTGTCTAAATAAACATATTTGGGGTTTTCTACCACCACTAACAGAATTAATGCTAAAGTCCTTTAAACAACAACAAAGCTTTTGCTTGAGAGCACAGGCTGCTACAGAATAAAGACATGGAACTAGAGCAGACAGCGAAGTGAAAGATTTTAGTTTTGACTTTAAAAAATCATCTTTTAGGTTAAACAGAAGCAGGGAGGATCCTTACAACGGCTGGTAGCGGAGCGTCTGGAGCTTGTGTCTGTACTTCTGACGAAACTTCTCGGCTCGCACGGCGGCCTCCGGCATGTCGGGTTGACTCGCCACTGCCCTCTTAACCACCTGAGCAACAGCTGTTTTTAATTAACATATTTCTTTACATCAAAGGAAAAACTCCACGTCAATTCCTTCACCACTGCAGGACGCCAACCTTAAATTTAGCTATTTTATTTCTTCATTTAACAACATTCACGAAATTTCATTTCCCTACCCCATCTAAGGCATCTTCAAAGCAGAACAACCAGTATTCCCGAGCCGGAGCGTCCTCAGTGAGGTCGACGGTGTCGGGGATGTATGATGAAGGCTCCTGGAGCAGAGGTAGATTCACCAGCTGCCTATCCAGACGGTCCATCTCCAACATGTCGAACTGGAAAAATTACACTGGGTGAGACTTATTCATAAAAACTGGGACTGAAATTCCCTTTTTCATCCTTTTCCTAACACAATGATTCCCAAAGTTGGAGTTTTGACTCCATAAATGGATTGTGGGCCCTTGAGCTGATCTCCAGAACAAATTACAATTAAAATGTTTCTAAAAGTATTAAAAAAGTGGTGTCAATTAGACACCTCATAAGCATGGCTTTTATTTTACCGATTTATATTTTTCTAGATTTTATAATCTAATAATCAAGCATCAAATTAGGCTCAAAAACACGCTGAGAGGCAAACTTGGTAGGTAGGTCATCCTTTTTGATTTTTAACTATTTATAGTCAATTTTAGGACATTTCAAGAGACTTTTATTTTGAAATCCAAGACCAGAGCAGCTACTGGAGGGTAACGTTCATCTGAAACAGACTCTAGACCAGTGATTCCCAAAGTTCGGATCAGGGCCCCACTGTGGATCACCACGATCTACACAGGGAGGTCTTGAGCTCATTTCCAAAGATAAAATAGAAAAACGATTGCTGAAGCAATATTTCAAGCATAACGGTTGAAAGTTCACTAAAATGGCATGAATGGATATGAGTGAGCATGAGCACAAGCATTTTCTGGGCAAGACCAAAGAGCCGTCAAAAGACACCAGAGACAAAATTGTGGATCTCCACAAGGCTGGAGAGGGCTATGGGGCAACTGCCAAGCAGCTTGGTGAAAAAAGATCAACAGTTGGAGCAATGTGCAACCATCCTGTCCCCTTGGCAGAAAAATACCCCAAATCATGATGTTTTCACCACCATGCTTCACAGTAGGGATGCTGTTCTTGGAACGAAACTCATCCTTTGATCCCCTCCAAACACGGCGAGTAAAGTTTAGATCAAAAAGGTTTTGTTTGTCTCATCTAAACACTTTACTTTCTCCTAGAGCTGGGCGATATGGCCGAAAATTAATATCACGATATATTGAGGATTTCACCTCAATAACGATAAATGGACGATAACCACAGGTATGCGCAGAAACAAACGTTTTCCACTAGGTGTGTAGTACGTTGAGTCACATTCTTACATGACTTTAGGTGGTACAGCTTCTTAAAGGCACATGACTGTTGCCAACCTACACACCCTTTAATTTTTTTATTATCAATTTTATTGACATGGGAAAAGGGATCTTGATTAGAGTCAGAAAATTCGATAACAATACATTTTCGACGTATTGCCCAGCCCTACTTTCTCCCATGCCTCCTATGGATCATCCAGATGGTCATTGACGAACTTCAGACGGACCTGGAGGCGTGATGATTCGAGCAGAGAACCTTCTGTGTCATGCATGATTTTAAGCCATAAAAGTGCAGTGGTCTGCTAACAGTGACCTTTGAACCTGTGGTCCAGGCTCTCTTCCTGTCCTTAACCAGCTCCTCCTGTGTAGTTCTTGGCTGGTTCCTCACCTTTCTTATCATCAGTGATAACACACCAGAGATCTTCCATGGAGCCCCCGTCCAAAGGAGACCGTCACTCATTTTTAGCCTCTTCCTATTCACAACAATTGCTCCCACAGCGGAGCTATATTCACCAAGTTGCTTGGCAATTGCCCCATAACCTTTCCAGCCTGGTGGAGGTACACAATTCAGAATCTGATGTCTTAACGGCTCTTTGGTTTTGCTCATGGTAGTAGTTGTAGTCTGACTGACTGTGGGGTGGACAGGTGTCTTTAACAAGCTCAGACAGGCGCTACTGATTTAGACTAATAAGGACTTTTTAAAGGTCTATGAAAGCTAGAGTTCTTGCTGATTGTCAGGTGTTCAAATCCTATATGTAACTAAGAGAAATACAAATACTTTCTTTAAAGAGCAAGTCACCCCCTACCAGAGTCTAACTCCACTCCCACTTCATGTTAGAAAAATGCAACAAATGCCGTTGCCTGGCAGACCGAGAGGGCGGAGCCGCTAACAAATACACACACACACACAGGCTCACAACAGCATTGTGACATCATAATGTACCAGTTTACATCATAGCATACCTCTTAGCCAATAGCGGTGGCAGATTTCAATTAAAATACAGTGCAGAGTTTTTACCTGACAACGGCACAACACTGACAGTTTTAGGCAGAATATTTAAATTTTAACTAAGATGCACTGAAATGCCAAATTATTGACGACACGTGTCTGCAGCATGATTAGACACTCGTTTATTTAGTTAATCAGCAAAAAAAAGTTGATTTGGGGTGACTTTCTCTTTTAAATCATACAGTGTGAATGCTGCTTCTCACAGTGGGAATGCACCAGACCCCTCCATGATTTCTAAGTGGGAGAACAAGCAAAATCACTGGGTGTTCAAATATTTCTGTTCCTCACTGTATCTGGGGTTGCATGTCTTGCAATTGCAATAATCACTATATTAGAGTATTACATCAAAGCCTCAGAGGGAGAAAACTCAGCTGTTAATAAAGTGTTTCACACCATTGGACGGGATATCTATTTGGTTATGAATGAAACTGAAGCAGGCAGTTTATAAAGTGCAGATGCCTCTAAGTAAACACACACAGGTGAACATCTGTCGTGGGGAAACGCTCAGCGCTGTGCAAAAAGGCGGCAAACTGAGGCAGAGTTTCATTAAAGAAGGGCGCACCACACACAGAAGTACTTACAGGAAACTGAAGACACAGGAATGTGTGGAGAGGAAATGAAAAGAATGATAATCAGACAAGGATGACTGATGAGATGGATGTTGTTCCAGTTATAGAAATTCAGCAACATAAAAATACTCTAATATCTGATAAAAGACATCAAAGAAATACTAAAATACCAAGTTATTAAACTTACTGTTCCACTGCGGGCGCGCTGCATTGGGTACATGTCTGGAGAAACGCTCATCAGGCCCGAGCTTCCTGCGTAATTTTCCCCCCAGCTGTACTGGTTTGGGTCTAAAGAAAATACATAAAGTATAGGATATTTAATTTAATAATTCAACAGCCCAAAAACTCTGACATTGGTCATTTTGACACTTTAAAGTGACAGTGTGCATTTTTCCTGGCGAATATTTTTGGGTTCAAGTAAGATCTTACTGACAGATGGCCATTAGTGTCAAAAATACACGGGAGTGCAATTTTTGGACAAGTACTTCATCAGATCATTGCTGGCAACGAGTAAAGAGGTAAATGTGTAAAACAACATTTATTAATGGTGAAAGTTTTGTAACCGTTTGTTACAAATCAGTAAATGCATTTTGCCCTCACGGGCTCCTGTAGAAAAAAACATGGCATCCTCCAGTGACTTAGACCCGCTCCCATGTACTTTAGACCCGATTTTTATGGTTTTATGTTACAAAGCCGCGAATATTTTTCAACAACTGGCCATCATTTAATTCATTTTCAACATTTTGTTGGATATTTCCAGATATTAATAATAAAAACTACACATTGTCTCTTTAATTTGAATTCATATGGGTTTACATTTTTTCTTATCCGACTCCAAAAACTTTGTCGAACAAGGTCAGACGACTTACCGGTAAAAACATTTCAGGATTGTTTAACATTTACTGTTAGTGGAACCCTACATCACCCCATAAAGGGGACGTAACTCTTAATAGTGTACGTGACCAAATTTGATCACTTGTGCATGCTTTCAGTCTTGATTTGCGTCCTAAAGTTAAAATTAAAATTTTTAATTGAAAAGATCTTTTTTTTTTGAATGCCAACAAAAACTCTAAAATAGGGTTCATTTGAAAAAAGTAAAGAAGTAAATTATTTCTAATGATATTTTAATAAACTTGTTACATTGCCAGTTTCCAAAACTGCAGTATTGTGTAAGAGTAAGCACCAAATCAGCTGCACCCAAAACCCCACACAAGTTTCCACTCAGTTCCTTTGGTGTGTTTGTTTATTTCTCCTTACTGTCTTCTTCTGCTCCTTTAAGAAATGCTCCAATGGCTCCGAGATAGCCTTCATGTCTCAGAAACAAGGCCTGGACTTCCCCCTGTGATGAAACAGCAGAGACACAAGAAAGACGAGTTACAGACGGGGCTGATGGGAGAAATCTGTGTTGTGGCGACGGCGCTGGCTTGCCTTGGTGAAGAAGTTGATGCTGTATGTGATTGTGTGCATGGTGAGCGGGTGTCCTCTGATAAAGAAGCCTCCAAAGTACACTCGAGACAGGTTGTGGAGCCGGGCGTAGAGACAGGCTAGCTGCCCAATGTCGTTGCTGATCATGTGCAGTAAACTCTTGGCCATGTCCTCTTTGGAAAACTCTACAGTCACAAAATGTTCAGTTTTATTAAGAAAGCTTTTCATCTTCACACCTTGAAACTGGTCTGAATCATCCACCAGTGGCTCAGTAGCAACAACAGGTTTCACTCCAGTAAAGCAGAATTTGGAACGAGGCCACTCCTCGTGTCCTAACACATAACTGGGTGAAAAGGCACCATGTCATTTCAACAGGTTTTTCCATTCAAATGTATTCTAAGACAATATTTCAGTGTGGAAATCTGTCAGAAAACCGTCCTTTGCAGCCCTGTTGAGGGGATTTAACCAATTTTTACAGTGGTGCCCGGCTCACATGGCAGGATTTTTAAATCAGGGAAGATTTTAAAAACATGAAAGACCCCACAGGTGGTGAAAACAGATCACCGACAGAACGGTTCTGGTACTGCAGTGGCAAAAACTAAACACGAATGGATCTCAAACACAATCATTACCCAGTCAGATGTGAAATCTGTGAGGTCAAACGTGACTTCAGAGTGAACAAACATGGCGGAGTGCAGTGTTCCTGCGTCCTCGTTTTCTGATTGGTCCCATTCAGCAGGCAGCGCTTTGTCCTCGATATCGGACCAGGACAATTCAGCATGCAGCCCCGATTTATAATTGGACCAGAGCAGTCCTTAAGCAGTGGTCTGTAAAATGATGCCATCAGAGAGAGGAGAAGACTTTTGAATTTAAACAGCTATAGCTCCCACCCCTGCGCCTCCTCCCCTTTTATAAAGAGCCAAAACCACGTCTCATACCACACATTCACACAAAGGCAGCCCTGTAGCGCTAAAGGTAATGTTTTTGATATGTTCTTGCTCAGACACACCTGATTCTAACTGCTGAATTATCTCCTCAGCTTTCATCGGGTTCTGAAGGAGCTCTCTCGTTTTAATCAAATCTGCAGTGTTCAAGCAGGGAAACATCTAAAACCTGCAGGAATCCAGCACTCGTCATGCTAGCACACCCCAGCTAACGCTACAACAAGCTAAAACAACAATCCGATGTAGCACAAGGCTAAACGCTACGCTAATCACTTAGCTCCAATACACAAAAAATAAATCCCTTTTGGTTCCCGTTGCTCCTCCTCGAATGGGGCGCGTTTTTGTTGATCGACAGCTCCCTCTTGAGGATACTCAACTCTTATTGGTCGTCGCTCTAGGCTTGTGTAAATTATGTGTTTTGCTGTTAAGGCCAGGGGAGGAGCTTAGGGGAAACATGAAATTACCTACTTTATTACTAGGGATGTGTATTGGTGAAATAATGGCGATACGATACGTATCACGATACGGGAAGACAATACGATATATCACGATATATTGCGATGCATTCAGTCAGACAATATTAGCGATTTTTAGACTGAATTATTATAGGAAAATTCTATAAACAGTCCAAACTGATTCGTAACATGCTTATCATGAGGTATCTGAACCACAACAGAGGGATTTTGTTACGTGCCGTGGCCCTTTTCGGCCACAAGATGGCCTCAGTGGCCTTTGCCTCGCCTGTCTCCCGGTGCCCCAGCTGTTTAGTATCAGTAATCAGGGAGCGGCTGTTAAAAGCTGCTCTACTGCCCTCAGTCAGTGAGAAGGTCCAAGGGTAGTATAGACTTGGCTGAGTTTATACTACTCTCTTCTCCTCGTTCGCTGTTGGTTTTGCTTGGTAGACTTGATATTTGACTCGTTTTGACATTCGGATTTGGCATTAGATCGTTTGGCTATTTGACTTTGGACCGGCATTTTGACCTCGATTTAGGATCTCCACTTTTGAAATTATATATATATTTATTATTCTCAGTTTTCTTCCCACCCCCTTCTGGGGTGGCGTTTTTCGTTTCTCCCTTTTCAATATTGCTCCTTTGGTTTTGTACATAGTATTGTTTTTAGGTTCTTTGTACATATTCCCTTAGTTTTGTAATAAAATCCTTTGTTTTAAGCGATACAGCACCCTGATTATTATTTCACCCACACACTAATTTTATTACTCCCCTCCTCATCTCTCCTAGAGAGCCGGGGACGTAATAGATTTACATTTCAATAGAGTAAACAAAACCCATTGCACACTGCTGCCAACTAGCGGTCAGCGTTTGCATTGCACCAAAAGAAAAGAAAATACACAAATGTTTGCATGTAAATTATTTTACAAATTAGATACACCATTTTGAATATCGCTATAATATTGCAGGAAAAATGTCACGATATACTGCCATATCATTATTTTCTTACATCCTTATTTATTACCTATTTCATATAATAGAAACAGGGTCAGACAGTCAAATTTAAGCATTTTTGATAGTACTTTGATTGATTTAAACTACCTACCCCATGGCATGGCAGGAACATCTGATTAAGTAATCTTTAGAGCCATTACAGTAATCGAGGGCATTCTTAAGATTGTTGGAAGGGGAAAATCGGGTCAAAAATCTGCACCTTACACATTCAATAACACAAACACAAGATCACCTTTGTCAGCAGTCGCAGATTTCCCAAAACTACTCGCAATAAGATCTCCAGTCAATCCCAAATATCCATAAGACCCTCCGTAAATGTCTTTGACAAGCATGTCGACACTTGAGTGCTGTCCTTTAGAGGCCAGCTGTAGCAACTCATCAAACCTCTGCAGAAAAGATGAGATTTAGAGACAAACAGAACCTGCCTAACAGGTGGCATTGATCCACAACTGTACTGGAGATACCTTCGTTTTGGTGAGCAAAGCTCCAAGACCCCAGAAAGTCCCTCCACCAATTGAACTTCCTCCTATTCGCTCAAATTTATCCTCTGACTCAACCTGTTGAAGACAAAAACAAAGGGATGAGAAAAACGAGTCAAAGGCAACCAGAAGATTCTTCAGTATGATGCAGACACGGTCCTGTTCTGACTGCTTAAACGCTGACAAGACAAATCTGAAAAAAAAACCATAAAATTGGCATTAAATGAATGCCGTCAATGTTCTAAAAGGTCGCTGTAAACATTGTGTTTTGTCAATTAAAGATAAACGAGTGTCTAGATTAGAGAAATATTTATAAACATGTTCCTCCGGAACTGTTTATTAATACAGTCTCTGTTTTTAATACAGTCTGTGTTTATTAATACAGTCTGTATTTATTAATAGTCTGTGTTTTAAATACAGTCTGTGTTTTAATAAAGTTTGTTTATTAATACAGTGTTTTTAATACAGTCTGTGTTTTAATAAAGTCTGTTTATTAACACAGCCTGTGTTTATTAATACAGTCTGTTTTTTATTCATGCCTTTTTTATTTTAGAAAAATAGACCTGACAAGTACATTTCAAAACAACGTGAATTTTCTCAAGTTTTACCCCAAGAACAAACCCCAGACTGCCACCCTGAACAGGAAAGGAAGAGAAAAAAATAAAAATAAAAAAGCACAGACTGTGTATCTGATTTTTTTCAAGATCCATGCATAACATAGTATCTCTTATCCAGTGGGCATGAGAGGGAGGAAAAGAGTCCTTCCACTTCAGCAAAACAGCTCTTCTGGCCAGTAAGGTCAAAAAGGATAGGATTCTTAGTTTGGAATGTGGTACGGTCAGATCTGGGGCGACACCAAATATAGCAGAGACAGGGTATGGCTCCACCTGACACTGCAGAACTTCAGAGATTGTACCAAAAACTGATCTCCAAAAGTTAGCCAGGGAGGGGCACGACCAATACATATGTAGTAGAGCCAGGAGCACCCCTACATTTTTCGCAAGTTGGGTCTATGTTTGGGTATAGACGTGCCAGCTTGGCCTTAGACAGGTGCACACGGTGGACCACCTTAAATTGCACTAGTGCATGCCGAGCACACTTATGGGCCATTGCCATCTGTACCTGGTCGGCCCGGCCCAGATAGCGTAGCTTGCTTATGGGCCATTCCCATCTGTACCGGGTCGGCCCGGGCCGGGTAGCCCCAGTCGGCCCCAGCCTGGCCCGGTTGATTCCACACATCCTTGCCTTAAGCCCATGTGGGCTGATTCTACCCACCAATCAGAGGCTTGCTCTAATGGAAGGTGTGAATTTGCTGTCAGCAGTGGGTGTGTTGGCCCTGGTCGGCCTGAAGCAGACCCCCTCGAGAAGAGGGCTGAGAATGAGCCTTGGTTGGCCCGGAAAAATACCAGGCCACCCAGATATGTAAACAACCTACGCTACCCGGCCCGGGCCGACCCGGTACAGATGGGAATGGCCCATTAGATAGATGAGGAGTGCACCTGGCCCAGTATAGATGCCCACACCTCATCTGAGATTGTAAAATTGAGGTCCTGCTCCCAGGCAGTTTTAATTGCCACTAATGAAGGACAACATAGTTTTGTGATAGAGTAATAATGCTTAGACATTACTCCTCCCATTGTGGGGTTTACCAATAAAAACTCATCCAATGGGTTCTCTAGGGGTTTATCTGGAAATTGGGGCATCATACTCTGCACGTAATCCCTGACCTGCAAGAACCTGAAAATTTGAGTGGACGCGATCCCAAATTTTGCTGTCAGCTGAGCAAAACTAGAAAAGAGATCATCAGAATATAAGTCTGGGAATTGTTTTAGACCTTTTTTATGCCAGAAAAGAAAGGCAGCATCAGCCATTGATGGAGAGAACAAGTGGTTAGCTGCAATTGGACTTAAAAGTGAAAAAGCATGAAGACCCAGAGTTTTTCTGAACTGAGACCAGATTTTCAGGGACTGCTTAACCACTGGGCTCCAGGAAGCGATAGAACAGGAAAGTGGAAGTTTATGTTTATTTATTTGGCAGACGCTTTTATCCAAAGCAACTTACAATTTATAACCTATAGGGCATGTTGTGATCTGTGGGGGAAACTGGAGTACCCGGAGGAAACCCGCGCATGCATGAGGAGAACACGCAACTCCATGCAGAAAGGCCGCAGCCGAGTTTCGAACCTGCAACCTTCGTGCTGCGAGGCAACAGTGCTAACAACTGCGCCACCATGCAGCCCAGTGACGCACATAGGAGTGCAGAAAGAGAGACTGTTGCACAAACCGCGTGGGCCTCCATGGTGACCCAGATTGGAGATGAAGATTCAAGATGAAAGTGCCTCCAGTACAGCATACTCCTAATGTTCGCAGCCCAGTAGCAGTGCTGGAAATTGGGTAAGGCCATCCCCCCCTGCTTAGGTCGCTGGAGGAAGGCCTTTCTCAGCCTACGATGTTTGCCATTCCAGATAAAAGAGAGGATTAAGGAGTCTAGAGATTTAAAAAAAGATTTAGGGATCATAATAGGAAGACACTGGAAGAGATAAAGACATTTGGGGAGAAGCATCATTTTCACAGAGTTTATTCTGCCCATAAGAGACAGTACTAGTGGGGACCATTTAGATAGCAGATGCTTCGCTTGATCAAATAGTGGAAGAAAGTTACTCTTGAACAAGTCACAAAAATGCCTAGTGACACATACCCCAAGGTATTTCAATTGGTTAGTAACAACCTTTAAGGTAAAACTTCCATAATTGAGACAGATGGCCTCCCTATTGATCGGAAACTGTTCGCTCTTATTCAAGTTAAGTTTATAGCCGGAGAACGTACTAAAGTTGTCCAAAATCCGGAGTACCGCTGGGAGGGACCTGAGTGGATCAGAAATATATAACACCAAGTCGTCGGCATATAGCCTTATGCTCGAGACCGCCTCTAAGGATGCCCTGTATTTCACCACTGCCACGAACCGCAATAGCAAGTGGCTCAATGGCCAAGGTGAAGAGGAGGGGGCTCAAAGGACAGCCCTGCCTCACCCCACGGTAAAGTCTAAAGTAATCAGAGCAACGGGTATTTGTAAGCACTGACGCTACAGGGTTCACATACACATAGTTTAACCCAGGATTGAAATAAAGGACCAAAACCAATTTTCTGTAATGAAAAAAAATAATAATCCCACTCAACTCTATCGAACACCTTTTCAGCATCCATAAACAGGCATTCAGCTACACTGTGATTAGGTGTGTAAATCATATTAAACAAACGGCAAATATTATAGAATGAGTGGCGATTCCTAACGAATCCAGTTTGGTCAGGAGAGATTACAGAAGGAAGGGCAGTTTCTAACCTACGAGCTAACAACTTTGCCAGAATCTTAACATCAGTATTTAATAAAGATATGGGCCCGTAAGAGGCGCAGTCAAATGGGACTTTGTCCTTCTTAAGCAGCATGGAAATGCAAGCCTGATAACATGACGGGGGAAGTTCCCCTGACTCAGAAGACCCAGCAAATAATAAACTTAAAGAGGGGGAAAGATCATCTGAAAACTTCTTAAAAAAATCAGTTGAAAACCCGCCTGGGCCCGGTGATTTCCCTGACTGCATGGATGATATAGCTGCTTTGATTTCCTCTATGGTGATGGGTGCTTCAAGATTCTGTCTAGTTTCTGGGAGAATAGAAAGCATATCCACAAAGTTAAAAAAAAACTCTCCATATTGCTCAAACAGGTAGTAGAATCTGACGTATATAGTTTTGAGTAAAAGGCTCTAAATTTGTCACTGATTGCTGTCTGATCAGGTGTGATGTGCCCACTGTCTGTCCTAATGCCCCGTGTAGATTGTTTGGCCCTTGCACCGTGCAGCTGATTGGCCAGAATTTTACCGGTCTTCTCACCATGCTCATAAAAATTGCTCTTACTTCTGATCAAACAGCCTTCGACCTGGTGGGAAGAAAGAATATTGAATTCAGTCTGTAGCCTTAATCGTTCTTTATACAATGCAGGAGATGGTGAGTGTGCATATAGTCTATGCAAATTAAGAATTTGGTCTGAAATATCTTTATGTCTCTTTTCCGCAGCTCTCCATTTAAATGCAGCAAAAGAAATTGTTTCGCTCCTAAGGAAGGCCTTCAATGCTTCCCAGATTGTTTGACAAGGCATGCCTGGGGTCCTATTTTCAATCAAAAAAGTTTTAATTTTAGAGGAAATATCTGAAACAAATGTTTCATCGACAAGCAGCAACGGATCTAACCTCCAATGCTTTTTCACTAAGTCACTATCCAGAAGAACCATTATAAGAACCAGGGGGGCATGATCGGAAACCGTAATGCTTTCATAACTGCAAGATGTATGGTTTGGGAGCAGCTGATTGTCTATAAAAAAGTAATCGATGCGAGTGTATGTGTGATGTGCGTGAGAGAAAAAGGAGTAGTCACTACCGGTTGGATAAAAGAAAGGCCAAATCAGTAAGGCTAAAATCTTCAAGAAATGACCTAATATATTTGGCTGACTTATTTAGACTAGCAGGCGCAGAGGAGGAACGATCTAACTGTGCATCCAAAAAACAGTTAAAGTCCCCACCTAAAATCAGAGAATGAGAATTCAAATCCAGGAGCTGAGAGAAAAGGGTTTGAAAAAATTCCACATCGTCGAAATTAGGCGCGTAAACGTCGGCCAAGATCACAGATTTATTACAAAGTTTTCCAGATACAATTATAAAGTGTCCATTTTTATCTGATATAATATTTCAGGCAACAAAGGGAATATTATGTTCAACAAGAACGGCGGTGCCCCTGGCCTTTGCTTTAAAATTCGAATGAAATGACTGCCCCGACCAGCATTTCCCCAAATACCGCTGATCTGAATCTCGCAAATGAGTTTCTTGCAAAAACACTATCCCAGACCTGAGCTGTTTAAGGCAAGAAAAGACTCTTCTCCATTTAACCGGGTGGTTCAGTCCTTTTACATTCCAACTGACAAGGTTAAGATTGCTGTTCATCTAGAATGATCCTGTAATCATAGTACCTAGAGTACCCCCGAGTGAAAGGAGGGGAAGAGGAAGGAAGGGAAGAAAAACAACATAAGAAAGTAAAATACATTTTAAGAAGAAAAATTAGCTGTCTCAAACGAACCCCCCACCCCTTCAAAAAAAAAAACAACCTGGAAACAACACAGGTTGCAAAACAAAAGCAACCACTGTAATTCTCCTACTACTTATCAGCATACCAAAAATATACTCCCAAACTAAACCAACTTTTCCCCGCGTAACAACAAATAAACAACTATTCTTCACCCAGCTGAAAATTGAGGGCTAAATAGAGCGTCAAACATACAACGAGATATTTTATCTTGTAATGAAATGCCAACAAATACATGGAAACAAAACCGCACACTGGTCCTTTCCCAACAGGTATTGATTATCAAAATTTGTTTGCAGTATAATCAGACTGTGGCTGTTGGAAGTCCCGGTAGCATCAAATTCAAATTGCTAACACTAGCATACAAAGTCAGAGATGGTACGGCTCCCATCTACCTGAATCCTCTTGCAAAGGCTTACGTCTCGGCCCGGCCGCTCCGGTCATCACAGGATCATCGGCTAGCAGTGCCTACACCACGCTCAGGACAATCCAGACTCTTCTCATGCATCGTTCCACAAATGTGGAATGACCTTCCAAGCACTACCAGAACAGGGGCTTCCTTTTCAATTTTCAAGAAACTCCTGAAGACCCTGCTCTTCAGAGAGCATCTTCTTAACTAGCACCCTGCCTGCACCCATCCCCCCTCTCTACTGTCCACTCCTTGTTCCCTACTCTCGATGATTGATGTCAAGTTGTTGTTGTTATTGTTGTTGTTAGCCTCAAGGGCAATATGCCGATTATCACTTGTAAGTCGCTTTGGACAAAAGAGTCTGCTAAATACATAAACATAAACCTGAGAAGTTGAGAAGGTCCAAGCCGGATCACGGTGATGCACTATGTTCCCCCGCCATAGACCGAAGGAGGTCGGCTGCCACGGAAACAGACCGCAACCACCGTATGTCACCATCCAGGAGGGAGACGTGCAGCTTCGCAGAGAAGAGAAGAGATGGCCGCAGTCCTTTGGTGTAGAGTTCAGCCATAAATTTCTTATTCTCAGCCCGCTTCTTCAGGACGTCAGCGCTGTAGTCCTCGTAGAAATGAAGCTTGTGCCCCCGGTAATCCACCGTGCTGCTCTTCCGTGCCTCCCTCAACACCATGTCCTTAATTTGGAAATGATGAAAACAAATAATCCGGGTGCGGATGCCCCGCTGGACTGGGTTTTGGGGCAAGGCTGCGGTGGGCTCTATCCAGCTGAGGCGGAGAAGATAGGATCTGGTCGCCAAATATCTCCACAAGAAGCCTGGAAAAAAAACGCTGTTGGCTGCGGACCTTCCAGGGACTCGGGTAAGCCAACCACTCGTAGATTCAGCCTCCTGCTTCTCCCCTCGAGGTCAGAAAGTTTAGACTTCAGCATTGTGTGGTCTTCCTGTAGAGTCGCACACACAGTTTCGAGTTGCTCTAAGCGTTGGCTAACTTCCTTGGTGTTGAAACTTTAGTCTGTGTTTTTAATACAGTCTGTATTTATTAATAGTCTGTGTTTTTAATACAATGTGTGGACTAGAGTTAAAATATGAGCAGCAGGAAATTCACTCCATTAATCAAGAAATCAATACAAAATATATAAAGATGCAGCAAAATAACCTGGCTGGTGATCAGAACAGACTGAAATCAAGCATAATTGATAGATAATGTCTGATCCTAGGTCTGTGAATGCATCACAGCCAAGCAGCAATAGAAGCATTTTCCTGGTCCGTGAACTAACCATCGCTAATTCACAGCAGTGGAAGTTTCTGCTTCTGGTATTATTATTTTTAGTAAATCAAAAATGTTTTATTCTAACTATAGTTCAGCATTGGCCAATAACACCTGAACTAGTGCTTCTCTAGCCTTACTGTTTATATCCGTGTTCACAAGGGGCCAACATGGAGAATGAGTTTTGCTGCATTAGAAATATTTCATCTTTATGTTTATTGAAGACAAAAATACTAAAGATCACAATAATGACTTTAAACACTTTTGACCCTTTAAAGCTGCAATAGAACATTTTGAAAAACATTTTTTGTGCCTCTTAACGTTTTAACATAGTACAGCTATAAATTTATTGCGACAGCAAAATATATAAAAAATGAGAAAATTAACTGGGACAGCAGTAGCTCAGTAGCCTGGCTTGCAAGACTCGTCCTCTGTTTAATTCACAGACAGAGAGGCACATGAGGGGCGGGACTAGGCAGCTCAAAAATAACCAATCCGAAAAAGACGGAAATGCAGACTGTACCGCGTGACGCTGTCGTTTTTTAGCTGTAGTCAAAATAGGAGTCTGGCGACAGCGCAAACATCTTTCTTTAGAAGAAAGCCTTTTAGTGCTTCTACTTGTTGTGGTTTTAAAGACATCCAAGTCATTTAGAACAGAGGAAAGAGCCGCAGCAAACTTCGCTTCAGTCGCCATGTTCGACAGACTCGGAGATATGGTGTGCGACGTACGCTACTCAGTGCTGATTGGCTCGGTTAGAATTCTCAGGGGGTGGGGTTATTTGAACAGGAGAGTTCCCAGACCCTTTCTCTGTGCAGAATTAAACAGAGAAGTCTGGCAGGCCAGGCTAGTAGCTCAGGAGGTTGAGCAGGTTGTCCAGTAATTGGAAGGTTGCAGGTTTGATCCCGGCTCCAACCAGAAAGTTCTGCTGATGTGTCCTTGGGCAAGACACTTAACCCACCTTGCCTGCTGGTGGTGGTCAGAGGGACCGGTGGTGACTGTGCTCGGCAGCCTCACATCTGTCAGTGCGCCCCAGGGCAGCTGTGGCTACATCGTAGCTCATCACCACCAGCATGTGAATGACTGATTGTGTTGTGAAGCGCCTTGGGGGGTTGTAGAACCCTAAGAAGGCGCTATACAAATACAGGCCATTTACCATTTTAATAAAGTGGTTCTCTCATTTGTCTGAAAACCTCCACCAATAACACGGTTCGGACCGAAAGCAACCATCTGGTTGTCGGTCTCGCCGAACTTCCCTGGGTCCTCCACTCATTACGCACTCGTGTATTTAACAGCAGAACACCACTGGTGTGAGATTTTCTCCTCTCACTACCACCAGAGAAGGTCAAACAGCCGGCTGCTACCACCTCAACTTTATGCTGGTGAAGGTTCTCAGTCATCTCTCAGGTTAAACAATGACAGTTTGGGGGTTCTGTAAATGATGAATTTAGCAGATTAGACTTCGAAAATATTTATAAAACTCATTTAGGCATCCTCTTCAAAGGGACTATATCATGCAAATGTAACTTTTAACCATGTTTTATTGTAATTTCCTCATCAGAAACAACCCCAAAGCAGTTTTTGGCTTCATCTTTGAGTCCTGCTCTCTCAGCTGTTGATCTGCCCAGCCACTGCAAATGGCTGGATGGGGCATGTTTGCGCCATCCTGTCCCAACCCTTCCCAACGAGGAAGAGCCTAACCTTCATGCTCCTCCTCTGGACTCTAAACACTCATCCCCACTCTCTCACAGTTGCAAGCAGGAATTTTATCTGTGCATTTGTGTAGAAGCAATTTCTTTATTAACTAGTCTGCACTTTTGATATTGCATAAAATGTGAAAATGCATTTTTGTCTGCGAGACGTAAAGGAATTAGCCAGTCATCCTAAATGTGGCAAGGTGGTGAAATGAGGGCCCGGACGAGATTCAATCCCCAAGCTGCTGGGTGAGGCACGTGCGCTAACCAGTCAGCCAAAGGGATATATACCCGTGGCCAAGTAGCCAGGGCGCATGACCAATCGGGAAACAGTGACAGGAACCTCACCCTGTCACATAAAGAAGAGTTTAATCTCCAGAGATAGTTGGATTTAATCCTTAGGAGCTCTCAAAAAACTGAGCCAGAAGGCGACCGTGATTTCATAGACTGCTTGTTAAATTCCTCCAGTTCCGGAGTGGGTTTTCAGATGGGTCACTTCTTCAAACCGTCGCCATTTAACGTTAAAACTACCCGATGGAGAGGCCAGAGAGCTAAGAAAAACCAAAATGCTAACCGCTAGCTAAATGGTTACACTGTTGAGTTAGCAACGATAAAGCTGTATGCACAACATGGTTAAAACCTTCTCATTTAAATAAAAGAAAGATGCTTTGCTGTGGATCTAGGATTACATCACAAAGTAGGTGGAATTCACATGTGTGGAGGCTGGATTTTACTGAATCCAAGCATCTGATTTCTGGGCTGAAGAAAATAACTTGTATTTCAGAACAAATAATGTCTCCATAGTGCCAATGGTAATATTTCAATCATATACGAGCCTAGCATTGCTCTGAACGGTTTAAAATATCAGATTTAATTCATCAGCTGTTTCATTTTCTTAATGAACAAAGTCCTGCTGTGACAAGTTACAGAGACAGGATAAATCACAGTTTCTCTTCTAAATCGGCGTAACTCAAACAACCAGAAACATAACAAATCTGTTATTTCTCTTTTACCTTCGCTATGGACACCCCCGAGCCGATGTTAACCAGCAGGTAGGGAAAGATGTCCGGATCAGTGGTCTGAAAGCGGAACTCTGAGTCTGCATGCTTGGCGTACACGAACGCTTCATGGGGGATGTTCTTCAACACAAAGTTACAGCCTTTAATGAGGCAGGACATCTCGTCCTCTTTGTCCACTCTGTCACAACACAGGAAGAATGAACGCATGAATCTCTGTTTCATAAACTCAATTGTTGACATTTTTCTTGTTAATTACAATTTGATGCTTTTGTAATTATGATCATGAGCCACACAGATGGTACCGGTAAAACCAGTAAGAATCAAACTCCAGAAAAATCTCTAGCCAACAAAAGCTCCACATGTGGACACGGCACTTCCTTTTGTGCCTTTAAACAGAGAAGCTCTATTGTGATCATATTGTGCCAGAAATTCACTGCCCAACTTGGAATAAGCGACTCAGCAGACCTAAAACATTCAGTCTTACTCACTTGAGTCCCAGTTTTCTTTCTATCAGCACCTTGAACTTGTGCGCCCCTCCACCTGTGGCTTTGATCACTTTGGTCTCAGTGTTGACCAGGTGGTCTTTGATGAAGTCCAAGCACGTTTCGATGTAGGCATTTTCAAACTTGATGAAGTGCAGACGAGCAGTCACCTCTTCCTGGACGGAGATTTCATACAGCTTGTCACTGGCAGCTTCCTGAAGGGAGCAGAGGAGAATATAGTGTTTATTTTATATCCAGCTGATGAAAACAGAGACACTGGTTTAGATCATCTTTTTTGTACCTTTGTGCTGTGGTCGAAAGATCTGACTTTGGCCACTTTGTGCTTCACAGTTGAGTAATAAGCAAGTTTAGTCAGAGATCCACCTGTTTGAGCATAAAAACACAGCTAGCGTGAAAACGGTTGAGCTGAGCAGCTCGTGTCTGATCCTAACGTCCACGTGATGAAAATGAAACTAAAGGCTAAAGAGTCCCTTCTCCAAAAATATCATTCCTCAATTAAGTTAAATACACATTAGGACTCGTGCCAACGGCTGAACCCCGATGTTTTTTTGTTGTTGTTTACTTTCACCTTAAGCCCTGCGTTGCAGCAGCTTGGTCCTACATGATTAGTAGCTTTCCTGCAAAACTTACGTAACGTGTTATGAAAACCCGGAAGTGCGGGGTTACCTATGTCTATAGCGAAGCGCTTCGCGTTTTCCAGGTTGCGGAATATTTCATCGGGCGGAAGAGTAATGCTTTTATCCATGGTGTGGCTGTCAACTCGTCCACATTCCGCCATGGTCGGCGATGTTTCGACGCTGTGTGCGTAATGTGCGCACATGCCACTTGACATCCAATCAGCTTCGACGCAACGTGAGAGGGAGGAGCCATCCAGAGGCACGCTAAGAGCGGTGAGCATCGATGAATTTTTTTATTTTTTTTTTTTTACTTTTTCCTCTGATTTGAGTTGACGTTTTTGATCTGCTGGCTCTTGATTTGTGTTTAGCTTGAAATTGTGGCTGTAGTTAGTTTCAAACGTCAATGAAAATCATTTGAATGCAACCGTATTCATTTTCACTGAAGATTTTAAAGAAAGAGTAAATGTTTTAAATCTTTTTGGAGTGATTTCTAAAAAAGAGAATATAACGAAGAATTTCTGTTATTTATTAAAGGGTATTGCCATTAAACAAATAAAGATTTATAATAATAATAATTATTATTATTATTATTATTATTATTATTATAAATATTATATTATTATTATTATTAGTAGTAGTAGTAGTAGTGTTGTTATGTTGTTGTTGCTGTTATTTTAAAATCATTATTGATAATAGTAATAATATTTGTCATGAATAATTTAAAAAACTAGTAATTGAAAAATAAGTCATATTGTTGAGTCTTCTTTATGACTTTACTATGATTTTTAGGTGTAATTCACTGAAATTATGATTAGTCCACTTTATAGAGATAAAAAATGTTATTCTTCGTACTTTTCCAACACTGAGTGGCTCACACTAGTGACTTATCTTTTTTAAAGTGAATTGAGAAAAGAAACTCAAAATTTGTAACTTTTTATTTGATGTAACTTGGTTTTCATAAGGAATAAACTCATCATACATGGTTTCAGTATTTATTGAGGCTTTAGTGATGACACATCCCTGGCAAACACTGTTTTTAAACAGAGTTTACTGAAACAGATTAAATTTAAATATTTTGCATCTTTGTAAAAGATAAATTAATAAACTTTACTAGGTACCCATATACAATACTTTTTTCACAACATCCGAACATTTTTTTATGTCTCAACTACATTCAACAATTGCAAATGCAAAATAAAGCATGCAGTTCAAAATCACCCAAAAAGTAATTAAACGTTCTCATTCTTGCAATGAGAAACTAATGAAATAAAGAACCACACGGTATTCATAGAACACAACTTCTGTTAAAGCGAGGCATTCTTTTCTTTCAGAAAGAGATAAATTATCAGTCCAACAGAACTTTGTGCTAACTTTAAACTATATATTCCTTTATTAGAGTCCATCATAAAATACATGATTATTCTATAAAAACTTCAAACCAATATGGTTCTAATAGTTCAGACTCCAGAATGCAGGAGTCTACCACGGCCTCCAGGGGGCGCTGCTGGCTGGACTCTTGTCTTTACTGGTGCTGGTCTGGACCGTGGAGCTCAGAGGACACAGGTCAGCATCTCTCAGGCGCTGCAGCTTGTTGAAGTGGTTCAGCAGTCTTCTCTGGGACTGTGTCTTCTCCTGGTCTCTGGACAGGAAGTGCACCACCTCCTGGATACATATGGAGTAGCCCTGATCAGCAGCTGCTTGATGCTGCTTCTGGTTCTGCTGCTGCAGTCGTGTCAGGACACAGACGGTCATCTCCAGGATGTCTGCTTTCTCCAGCTTGGAGTCTGGCTGCTGTTTGAGGAACTCTGGACCCAGGAGAGACTTGAGTTGCTCGATGCTGCTGTTGATTCTCTCTCTGCGTAACTTCTCCACCAGAGGCTTCCTCAGCTGCAGAAACAAGAACAACATCATGAATGAGCTGATTCTCCTGTGTGATTTTATTGATATTCTAATGACTTTGTATGAATCTCATATTCACCCTTTGGTTCTGAGGCAGAAGCTCCTGGGATGCTGCTGAAGCGACGGGTTTCATGGTGGAGAGAATCTGACCTCTGCTTGCTTCATTCCTCCTATTTATACTCACATATCTCCGTATGAGCATGTGGGTTTTAATGTGACCAAGTTTCTCACAGTTTCAGCCAATCAGAGAGCTTTGTTGAGACAACAGGCAGTAGCAAGCTAAATGCTGTCATTCTGCCCGAGGGGACAAAAGTTGGGTCTCAGGGGAGCAGGTGGATGACTGAGGGGGACAAGAAGACATTCAACACCCCTTCCTGTGACTCTGGGAAGGGGTGTAGTGAAATGGTCTGCTGTCTGCAGGGATCTAAAACATTGGGCACACTCCCACTGGCCTGTCACATGTGGGAAAATGACACGCACTTAACACATAAAAGATCTGGTATCTGTACTGACATGTATTGAGCTACTATTTAATTTTAAAGTAAAATATGACTTTTAAAGTGATTTAATGCTGGTTGGAAAAAATAACAATTTATTCTAAAATATTATAATATTTCAGAATCAAATTTATTTATTTTTTCCTGGTGAAAAACCAAAAACTGTTTTTGTAAACCTAAATCTTCCATAACTGCATGAGCCACATAGATGGTACTGGTCAGCTGGTCTGTGAGGTTTGTGATAAGAATGCTCAGATTTCAGAATATTGCTCTTTAATCACAAGGGTTGATAACACAACAGGGAATTGGTTGCAGCCTGAAATGAGTTCTCCAGCTTCTGTTATCACGTTTTCTACCTGCAAGCCTCTTTTCTAACAGAAAAACTGGACTCTGCATTGTGCAGCTTTGAGTTGTGTAACAAAAGCAGGCATCGCCAAACCCGTTTAAATCTCTGTAACACATTTGCCTGGATTGAAGAAATTAATGCACATATTGCTGTTTATATTGCTAATTAGAACGACAGTGGCACAGGAGTTCAGTTCTCGCACGTAACCGGAAGGTTGCCGGCATGGACGTAATTTTCACTTTAGAAGTGGGGGTGACACGGGTGGGGGTGGGTGGGGGGGTATCTTTACAGTATGTTCTAATGGGAAACAGGCTTCAACTCAAACGGTTGTTTTCTGCTTGGTCCTAGAGCTCAACCTGTCACAATGTGGGGATGTTTAGGACCCAAATATGCAGATACCCAGGCTGACTCGAGGCAGAAGTTGGTAAAAGTAAAAATCCTTTTATTAGGAAGTAACAAAAATAAATCCAAAATGGCAGCAAGCCAAAAGTCCTGGAGGACAGGACACCCAAAGCTCTCTTTAGAGCACCAACAACTGGAGACAAAAAAGCTCAGACAGAGCACAAACAAACGCTGACAGAAATACAACAATGGACCGACACAAGACAGAGACGAGACAGGGCTTATATACACAGGGAGGAGTAATTAGGGAAATTGGCAGCAGGTGTGTGGAGTGAGGGCTGGAGGGAAGACAAGTGAACATAATAATCTACCTGGGGAAACAGAAACAGAGGAGGGCAAATACCTAAACACAAAACTAAACAACAATATCTAAAGACTGAGGGAAGGGCTCACACAAACTAGCTGGAGGAGGACATGACACCTCCCCCCCCCCCACACACACACACACATACACTGAGTTGGGGAGACACATGAAGGAAGACACAGACGCAGACCATGACACAACCAGTGTCAATTTAATATAGCGTGATATTGTTTTTGGATGGTAAAAAGTGCAGGGGTCAAAATTTGACTTTGGGAAAGGGGGGGGGGGGGGCGTGTCCCCCCTGTTCCCCCCCAAAATTACATCCATGGTTGCAGGTTTGAGTCCCGCTCAGTCTGTTGCTGTAGTGTCCTTAGGCAAGACACTTACCCACCTTTCCTGCTCGTGGTGGTTGGAGGGACCGGAGGCGCCTGAGTACGGCAGCCTCGCCGCTGTCAGCACACCCCAGGGCAGCTGTGTAGCTCATCACCACCAGGGTGTGAATGGGTGAGATTGCGTTGTATAGTGCCTGGGGGGGATCGAGGACACTTCAAGGCGCTATATCAAATACAGGTGATTTAATTAATTGTTAGGAAAACTGCCATTTTCTCTTTTAAACAGCCTTCACATTTTCAAAACCGTGGTTGGAATTGATTGAACAGAATTTAATTTAGGAGTCATTAACTCAAGAAAACCCTTTTTCCGTCGTGTGAGTTGTTTAAGACATTTACGCAAAAATAAGAGACTGTCAAAATGTTGATCCAAAGTATTCACACATCTTGTAAGGCTGAAAACAGCCTCGACACTTTGGCATGCACCAGACGAAAACATAAAAAAGACAAACAACAATGGAGCTGGCTAAAGTTGCAGAGCTCTGAGAAAGGCTAGAGGAACAAAAAGACACGGTGGTGAAATAAGTGTGCCAACTCCCCTTGGGGAATCGTCTGATGCTGTTGGGGCTGGACTGTGACTCCGCTCCTCACAGCTTTCCCACACTCGGCCCATCCATGCAGCCCCACTCAACAATGGGCATGTGCCTTGTTAAATGCTAATGCGTCCAAGCAGCTCGTCCCACAGATGCTTCACTTAGGAGGGAACAAAGAGAAATGAGCACAAATATTTGGACTGGTTGTAACTTAAAAGTAGACTGTTAAGCAGCAGCTCTCATAATAGTTTTAACTCTTTAAAAACACTAATTAAGCTATTTCTGGCTCAAATATGGTGCATGGGATTAGGGAAGCAGTTTGTTTAGATAAAAGCTTAATCAGCAGGAGTTAGAGAGAATAGTTTATTTAATTAATCATTTATTTAATAAAATATCCATATAGAATTGTGCATTTTTACTTTGTAACTCTTCACTGATTGTGTTTAAATAGGATTAGAGTGCCTGTTTATGTTGCATTTCTAAGCAAATAGTAATTTTTTTTAAATAAACTTATTATATTTTTAAACCGGTAATTTTAAGCACTTCCTTTTAAATTGCAACACACTTTTACCAAAATTCATTTTGAGTCCAGTCATTAAAACCCTTTTTAAGAGTTTTTAAAAAAGATTTTTATGAATCAAAATCAGAATGAAGACAACTTATTTTGTAGTTTATTTTTTTTTATTAAAAGCTTTATTTTGCTTATAAAGATTATGTATGAGACTGAGATAATGTATGTTTAGTCTAAAGTTTTGGTAAAATTTAAATATGATCTCTTTATTGATATCACTTTGGGCATTATTAAGCATTAATAACATATTAAATAAAGTCTTAACAACTGCTTAATATTAAGTAATGCATTACTACCCCCCCCCCCCCCCCCCCCACACCACCACCACCACCACCCCGGCCCATTGTCTCAACATCAAGGATACTTAATAGTTAACAATAACGGTAACTTTAAAAGAGAGACCCTTTGTTTATTAATGCTTAATAATGCATTAAGTAACATTAATAAAGAGACCCTTATTGGAAAGTGTTACCAACGTTTAAGTGAAATAAACCCACGTGATATTAAAAGTTGAAGCATTTTCCAGTGTTACTGAGTAAAACATCAAAGCACTTAGGATTCAGTGGTAAAGCCCCCCCCCCCCCCCCCCCCCCCCCCCCCCCCCAAGACATCTTTGTCTCGTCTGTCTCTTTTTTCCCACAGGGACACTGTGAGTGGGTTTTCTCTGGTTTCCCACACTCTGTCCATTTACTGCTGCTAAGAACAAAAGAAGTGTGTCTGGTTGTGCATCGCATTAATTATGGAGTCCGTTTTTACGGGTTTTGTCTCACATCCTCTGAATGGGGATTCCTGTCATCCGGACTGGTCATCACCAGACTTTTGTAAAATGTCTATGAGGAATGCAGACATCCAAAGGATTAATGAATACTCAACAGCTCATTTAGATTCAGAGTCTGCATTCCTGACAGTTCATTTAAATCTAAACTGGTAAAGTGGTCGCAGAAAACATTTCAGGTTGTCTTTTTTTTTAGTAAAGCTGCAATTTCATTTATTTTAAAGGTTTTTAAGATTTTTGTGAGCATGCTTCTGCAAATATTGCTTTAGCTGCAAGAACACACCTTCAACCAAAATCTTGAGGCAACCCTTTTCTGATACGACACAAAAAAGCAGCTTCATAAGAAAATCTGTAAATTGTGACTGATTTGCTTTTCATTGTCAGTTTCTGGGGTGTGTGATGGGACGATGCGTGTGTGCTCAGTCAAAGTCATTGATCACAAAAACTGGCAGGAAATCTACACACACTCTGGGGTCACCACTTTCCCAGATTCACACTGTGCTTTGTGCACCCCCGCCTCTCCTTACTTTTCCAGTTGTTCCCCAGAGATCCAGCCATTATCCTTAAGGCAATAATGCTATTCAGCGTTTTGCATCCTTTATTGTCCTGCAGGACTCTCTGATTGGTCCAGACTGTGAGAAAATCCATCCAGAACAGGACCCACACATTCAAATGGAGATGTGTGAGTATAAATAGGAGGGCTGAAGGCTGCAGAGATCAAATTCTCTCCACAGAGACCTCTACAGACCGATCCATGGCTCCTACAATCACTGCAGCATCCACCCAGGATCAGCTGGTTCTCAGCCACAAGGTAAACATGATGCTCATGGAAAGACAGAAGCTATTGGAGAAGGTTTTAGACTTGATGTCATCATCGTTGTGGTGGAGAATCAGTTCATTAATGATGTTGTTCTTGTTCCTGCAGCTGAGGAAGCCTCTGGTGGAGAAGTTACGCAGAGAGAGAATCAACAGCAGCATCGAGCAGCTCAAGTCTCTCCTGGGTCCAGAGTTCCTCAAACAGCAGCCAGACTCCAAGCTGGAGAAAGCAGACATCCTGGAGATGACCGTCTGTGTCCTGACACGACTGCAGCAGCAGAACCAGAAGCAGCATCAAGCAGCTGCTGATCAGGGCTTCTCCAGATGTGTCCAGGAGGTGGTGCACTTCCTGTCCAGAGACCAGGAGAAGACACAGTCCCAGAGAAGACTGCTGAACCACTTCAACAAGCTGCAGGACCTGAGAGAGGCTGACCTGTGTCCTCTGAGCTCCACGGTCCAGACCAGCACCAGTAAAGACAAGAGTCCAGCCAGCAGCGCCCCCTGGAGGCCGTGGTAGACACTAAATGATTGGACTTGATTAGTTCTTATTCTCTTACTTCTAAGAGTTTCTGTCTGTATTACAACTTTTGTCTGTGTTGCCTTTTGTGAAGGCCTGACCACGATTCTGCGTTCTGCTCTGTGATGTAAACGCTATCGTACTTACGAATATCTACTTTATGCTGGCAATGCCACCGAACTAGATTGTCCTATACATCCTTTTAGGACATATTTTCATGTCAAAACGTGTTTAAATTTTATATTTGATCAAAGGGTTTATAATTATTATGTTTGAGCAGATGAGGTTCAAGACAAATGTGCTGCGTTATAAACTCTGTGAGTGACAAGCAACCCCCCTCCCCATCATCTTCAATGAAGGAGTGAATTATTTGGAAATCTGTCATGATGAATGTATCTCTTCAAGCCAAGTGATGCGCAATAAAACAATCAAAAAAACAACAGCATTTGCTTCTGTCTCACTTTTTTCATCACTGTTTCAAAACAAGGGTAAAAAAATCTGTTGCTATAGAAAAAGAAATTATTCTAACGCGTCAAACCAAGCATCCTGAGCTGCAGAAGGATGATTCTTCTCAAACAGATCATTTTAGTCATTTAAAGAGGGTTGGAGAGCTCTAGAGCTTGTATGCAGGATTATATGGTAGATGTTTAAGATGCACAGACTTATTTTTTCTATTGAATTTTTCTTTTTCTTATATTTTCTACTTTAATATTATAGATTACTTGCTTTAAATGCAAATTTCACCAGTAAATTTGTATAAAAACCAGTTAAAAGAGGAGGTTAGACAAACTGTTGCGAGGCTTGTTATTTCAACAGCACAGAACTAAATAAGCCAAATCAGATTTAGGCCTCAAGAACGTAACATTGAAAAAAAACAGTTTAAAAAAAAAGATAAATTAGAAAGCGATTGTGTGATTTTCAACATTTTCATATTTAATTTTAAATCAACAATTTCCAGATTTTAATAATTATTTTATAAGTTTAGAAGAATTTGCAATCAACATAACTCTCCTTTCTCTTTAACAGCAATAGATTGTGACATAAAACAGAGTTTTTATTTCTTTTGCAACATTTCAGAGTAAATAAAGCTGAAGTAAAATCAGTTAAAAACAGATTTTCTGCAGTAAAGTGTGGATGATGTAACAACTGGACATAATCCTAATCCAAACAGTTACGGGACAAAAACCAGGACTACATTTCCATGCAGTATTTATTCTTTTGATGTAAGAAATGAACATATTAATATTTTCTTAGAGAAAATGTTTGTTTCTCATAATTGTATTATTAAATGTGTTTTAATAAAGCAGGAAGCTAATATGACTCTGCTCACAGAACATCTCTCCTTCATAAAACATTTAAATTCGGGGATACATTCAATTTATATCTATAAAGTTATTTAATGGGTCCTGACTTCCCCACATCTGATTTATTACAATAACATTTAAGTCAAACCTGTGTCTATATGGTATTTTATTCTCTACCTTGTTTATTCTTTCTTTCTTTGTTTTTTTACTTTTCCAAACATATTACTGAATCTGACATCAGTTCTGGGGCAACAAATATCTTTGTTGATAGATTTAAGACAAAAAATAATTCACAAATTTAAAAGAAACCATGATAAACCAGACAAATTCCCCTGAACATGTCACAAATCTGTACAGAAGGAGGCTGCTCATCAAATTTAATTCACTCAAACCAGATGTGAATAAATCACTTCAAAACACAATGATATGATAAATCCTTTATTTTCTTGACAAATGCAGCAGGACAAAAGCAAACTTAAAATTCACTTTGGATCAATTAAAAGACAAACAGCTAAATAAGACATGCATACACAGCATACACAAATCAGTGAGCAATCCCCTTTCAGAAGAAAGGTTGTTTTTAGGGGTTTTAAACACAGAAACCTTGAAACAAGGCAGTAAAAATTCAAACGCGGTGTGAAATCACACAGTCTTGGGCAACTTTCACAGGAATCATAATAGAAATGGCACTATAGGTAGTTCAGTCAAGTTAAACAGGTCAAACTATTAGAGTTAAAGAAAAAAACCGACTAAAGATGTTGTAGAGAAAATAACTCATGTCTTGCATAGATAAGAGACGGTTCTCTCTTTTCTCAGCTCCTCTCCCAAATAGCAGCACAGCACGACTTCGTTACGTCTTTTTGCAGCAAATCTTTTCACCGTTACTCAAATAATCCCTTCAGCAAAAAATAAAACATAATTCAAGATGGAAAATGTTCTTAAAGGCCTCTTCGTGATAATGAAAAAAAGACGCATTTCTTTCAAAATGAGCAGATTTTCTAACAAAAAGCGGCGTTTGCTGATCTGGCGCAGCTTTATTCCAGTCTGGTGGTGTTTCTGCTCTTGTTTGTCAGAAGCAGAGCGGAGCCACATCTTCTTCTGCATCTGGGAACAGGCGCAGAAGGTCCCTGGAATATCTGGGGTAGCCGCTGGGTGTCAGCAGGGCTTTTCTCAACGTGAGGAAGGACTTTGTTTTCTCCAGGAGGTCTGAAACAGGAAAGCCATTCTGCAGGTGAGCCTCAATGAGAGCCTTCAGCTTCTCCACTCCCGTGCAGCATTTCCTCTCCAACATGTGAAGTTTACACCTGAAAGAAGCAAAAGCACGTTTTCTGTTAACACCTTCGTCCTCTCAGTGAAATTTCCATTCAATCTGCCGTCCTTTTAACGTGAGAGAAAATATAATTGTGTCTCACCTGAAGAGTTCCTCCTTCATGGTGTCCTGGAGAGCGAGGTCGGTGTACAGAGACATTTCCAGGTTTAGAAAGTTTTGGGACTGTCTGCAGAGAGTCTGATGATGGCTGTGGCTTCATCTGCTTCTCTGCTCTGCATTTATGCTGCCGATCCAGCGCTCTCACTGGCGTTTTGTCCAATCAGGGGCCTGAAAGCTCCAGACAATGGCCTGAATTTAATGGCTGTCACAGAGAACAGGTGGGATGCTTCGTTTCTAAACCTCTCCTCAGAAAAGTTTGGTGGGAAAGTGTTTTCCATGAGGTGGACACGGGAAAAATTGGTTTCTTGGACCTTGACTCTGGCCTGGAGGGAACAGACTTACGTTCAAAAAAAAAAAAAAAAAAAAAAAAAGCAACAAAGCTATTATGCAGACGTAACAAATTATGTCGCAAATAATTATTTAGACACAAACACTAATTCCAGTGAGTGAATGACACTTTATGCATAATTATGCATTAAAACTCATATCTATGGAGTTAAGCTGAATGACGTTTTGTTCTTGGACTTCTTGCTGTATTTTCCCAGCAGTGAGCTGCAGCTGAAGCAGATGGTTTGATGGTGAAGTGGCCTGTTGTCCTGGCGCGGCCTGAGAACGGCTCCCCAGGCTTTGTGGCAGCAGACACACTTCTTTTGTGTGAACGGCCGAGCAGGCTGCATACGTAAGTGTGGGAAGCCGTGTTTGGCAGCAGCTCCCAGCAGCAGAGAAAGAGAAGGGCGTGTGACCGGGGCACTTCAGCCTTGTGCAAGCAGCCGTGTGGGAAACCTGATCCTCAGCAGGCAGATGGAGACAAGGTAACCTCACCTCCAACTGGTTTGTTGCCAGTTTGGTGTCGCTTCATCCAGGTGTCTCCAAATCATAACTAATGATCAACCACGTTTGTGTGACAACATTGTTTTATAAAACACCTAAATTAGAGGTGTCTAACTCTAATTCACACTGGGCCGAAATGAAAAACTGAGATAAACTCAATATTTTAAAAAGTGACGGCAAATGTGCAGATTTTCCTTCATCTACTGACATCGTCCTCATCTTCATCTGGCTGCTGTTTGAGGAAATTTTCATTAGGAAACAAACTTGTGTTTGCAGCAACACTGAATGTGTATTAACCAAGTTACACAGAAGCAAATCGATCATAAATAAAGCACACATCAGAGGTATTTGTTACATGTTAAGTCTCAATTAAAAATATTTTATTCCTTAAAATGTGCATAAATTCAGCATTTCTTTTTAATTTTGTATCTTTTAAGTATTTCTATTTTCTTCTTGTTGTTTACTCTCCTTTTCGGCTCCTGTCATGAATGTTATTGCTGCTGTGAAGCTTTCCCCACTGCCTCACTCTGAGATCACTAACCTTGACTGATCACACCCTCATCATCCAGGCACACACGTGGCTGAATCACAGTTCGACTAACTTACAAACTAAATGTAAGCTACGCAAAACTTTCATTAAGTTATGTTTGCATTCAGAACGCAGACGGGTCATCTCTTATTGCTGCAGGCTACCGCTGAGTTCAGTCCTCAAACGTAACTCAAATACAAAGGATCCAGAACTGCTTAAACATGTTTTTGTAGTTTCATCATGTCAATCCAAAAGCATGGATGTTAAAATCTGTGTTTTAATCTGATCGAGCCCACACTTCGATGCAGACGAGTCAGCCGGCGCGTGCCTTTGAGCATGGTGTGAGTAGCGAGCTGAGCCGAGTTTCCCACACCTACTCCCCGTGCCGCGGTCAACAAACCACAAAGGGATTTCCAAGGCAGATGCTAGCTGTGTGTTGTCATAGAAACCGAGTATTGCATCACCAGCCATCTGCAGGGAAGGGATCCCATTGGCTAGCTGAAGGAGTTGGTAAAATTTGAAACTGTGAACATGAAATTTATTTATGCTTCTTTTTTCAAAATAATCTGACACGTAATAAATTCACGTTAAACTGGTGAATCACCATCACTGGTCTTTATTTGCACATTTCAGCTGAAAGACGTTTATTCTGAGGAGACACCAGAGGTGGTTTCATCCCTGGTTGTCTAAAACATCACGGGAGCGGTTGTCTTCCAGATTCGTTCCTTTCTTTTGTTTCTATTTTTTAACAAACACATCTCCCTCAGATTTTTACATCACATTTTAGATTATTCTTATATTGTTCGGGATCAGAAACACTAAAAACCAGCAACACTAATAAAGTGTTTTTTGATCTTTTTTAATGCTTTAATTAGATTAAAATCTTGTTTCAAGTTCAGATTTTCAACTTCATAAATCTATTCAGGCTGAATAGAATTCACAGTTCTAGCACATGGATGCTTTAATGACATAAAGGTATGCCATTCATGTTAATACATCATAATTCAGCAGTCAGCGGGTCAGATACTGCTGCGTCAGAATAGCTGATCATTCAATTCAATTCAAATTCAAAGATATTTTATTAATCCCAGAGGGAAATTAGAGTTTAGAGATAATGTCTTTTTTCATCTTTTTGAAGGTTGTTTAGAAGAAACGTTAAATATTCTCCTTTCATATGAGCCTGTGATTCATTCATATCTTTTAATTTAGCCTTTGCCTCTTAAGCCTGGTCTTAATTAGTGTTTTCTACTTTTAATTCCTGCACGCCTTTTTGTAATCATGCAAAACAAACGGAACAAGCGAGAAAAGCCAGTCACCGCGTCGTCGTCTGAAAGTGACGATAATATTTACGAGCTGCCCCTGCTCTGCCCTCTGGACTGAACAAAGCAACTACAACCTGGCAATGCGTCAGAATGGCAGAAAAACAATATTATGTTTAACCAGACCGTTTCATTAACAGGAGGTTAATATTATTTTATTTTGACTCCATCAGCGCTCACAGAGAGTTGAGAACTGTTGTTGGGTGTAAAGCATAAAACAACTTTCAGTTGTCAGCAGCTGTTTAATTATTTATTGTTATTGTATGGGGGGACATTCACATGTCTGCAGAAGTGAGAAGGACACCAGAGGAAGCAGGCACGCTCTTCTTTAACTTCTGACCCCTCAGAGACGGATGCTTGGATCTGTTGTCCCCCCAGCAGCTTTGTGGCTGAGTCTGCGCTGGTTTCCCACACTTCCACATTCAGAGGAGCAACTAAGACGTGTTCTTTGTTGAAAACGGTAAATGAACTGTGTGTTTGTGCTTCCTGTTAGTGAGCCGTGGAAGGAAACGGCAGCAAAGGCCATCCCCGCAAACAGTCAACGTCGCATGGACGTGCGGATCACGTGCGTGTTGAGTCCGTCGGTCCAGACCACGTCTGTAGGACATCCAGACTAGGTCTTAGCACAGTGAGATTATTAGTCATAAGAAGAAAGGTCGAAAGAAGTGGTCACAAAATAACACGAAAATGCAATTCTTGTTTTTTATTAGAAAACCAAGCACATGAAGAGCTAAAGCTCCAGTTAGAGGTGGTGCATCAACACAGCGAGAGAGTAGAACAGCGTCTTTATAAAAGACAGAAGACACTTGGAGCTGAGTGTCATGTCACGTTCTGAACCTAATGAACAAAATAATGAACAGAGCTCTTCCGTTCGATCTGAAAACAGATCACAGCGTTCTCCGACACCAGTTGTGTTTAAGTTTTCTAACAGATCATCTCACTGATCACACGGTGATCATCAAGAATTGTTCCAAAAGTGGAACATTTAGGATAATGGATCAAAAAAAACGATCGAGTGATAATAAACATCACCGGTTTACTATAAACACAGTAAAATGTTCATAATGAAGGCAACAAACCTTTAAGAATTAAAGGATTTGGATCTTAGAACAGATCTGTTTGGATTAATTAATCCCAGATATTACATGTCCATCTGATCACATATATCAATAATTATAATATTGTCCATGTAGCAAAAGCTGCAAATTACCACATTGTGAAACAATGAGAAATTATTGCTGATGCAATAAAAAACAATTGGATGCAACATGCATCAGCGAAGCTCCTGGCTTAAGTAGGAAGTTACTTTTTGTAAAAAGAAAAAAAAAGTCCACGTCTTTACAGACGGATGAAAGTCCTGCGCAGACAGCAGGACACGTCCACAGGATTCTTTTTCCTTTATGGTTGACCAATGTGGTCGCTTCAGTTTTTAGTCAGTACAGGTTCACCACGGCCTCCAGAGATCGTGTTCCTCTGGATTCTTATCTCTGTGGATGCTGGTCTGAACCCTGGTGCTCAGAGGACAGAAGTCCTCCTCTCTCTGGTTCTGATCAGAGGAAGACTGGAGCTCATTGAAGTGGTCCAGAAGTCTTCTCTGCTTCTGGTTCTGCTGCTGCAGTCGTGTCAGGACACAGACGGTCATCTCCAGGATGTCTGCTTTCTCCAGCTTGGAGTCTGGCTGCTGTTTGAGGAACTCTGGACCCAGGAGAGACTTGAGCTGCTCGATGCTGCTGTTGATTCTCTCTCTGCGTAACTTCTCCACCAGAGGCTTCCTCAGCTGCAGAAACAAGAACAACATCATTAATGAACTGATTCTCCATCGCGATGATGACATCAAGTCTAAAACCTTCTCCAATAGCTTCTGTCTTTCCATGAGCATCGTGTTTACCTTGTGGCTGAGAACCAGCTGATCCTGGGTGGATGCTGCAGTGATTGTAGGAGCCATGGTTTGGTCTGTAGAGGTCTCTGTGGAGAGAGTCTGATCTCTGCAGCCTTCAGCCCTCCTATTTATACTCACACATCTCCATTTGAATGTGTGGGTCCTGGTGTGGATGGACTTTCCCACAGTCTGGACCAATCAGAGAGTCCTGCAGGACAATGCGGCATGTGGGGCAGCAACATGCTGTCGTTGAGGCTTTGAGGGGATAATGGTTAGATTTCAGAGGAGCAGGTGGAACCGGCTCAAAGATCTCTGAGTCCATGTGGGAAAGTGGTGACCCTGAAAGCCGATCTGCTGCTTGAGGTTGAGATCAGATTCCCCAACGTGGTAAACGTTCTTCATTCAGGCACACTTTTGTTAAGTACACGGATCACATGTTTTTGTGCAATGAAGAGTTTGACCAATAAGGTGTGATAACTGGTGAATTTTTATCATGTTGAATAAAATCATAAACGTCCGTTTGCTTTAAATTGTTTATTTGATCTGTTTTTTATAATAACTCTCATTAATTTGAGTTTAATAAGATTTTTGCTAACTAGTGTTTTTGTATTGGAGTAACTGATGAGCTGCCGTCCAGATGCTGCTGGTTCTTGGCACGTGTCCTGCTGTGGGCCCGTGCAGCAGCCTGATAATCATCCCTGACACGTGCCTTGTTGTTGCTCGTGTGAGTAGCGAGTGGATCCAAGTTTCCCACACTGACTCAATGGAGCCCAAAGGGGACGCCTGTGACAGGTGCAGGCTCTGCGTCGTTATGGAAACGGAGTATTACATCACTCACCATCTGGCTGGCTCCATGATCCAGTAAAATTGAACGTAATAGTGATAAACAATAACGTAAAATGGACTGATTTAATTCTAATACATGTGTGTTCTTTAAAGTCTCTCATCTTTACCTTTATCCTTTATGGCTCATGCCTTTATTCTGTTAAATAACCGGAAGTTTAGTGATTGCTGCTGGAAATTTTCATTTTTAAAGGTTTTTTGCATTTTGAAATTTTGCGCAAAAAGAATTCAACATTTCTGCTAGACGAAAAATTCTTCATTTAATATAAAGTGAAACCAGCTCTCATTTGGACCAGATGCAAAAACGTTGCAGTTCCTAATTTGAATTTCCAGAAATCAAACAGAGATAAAAAAAAATTATGACAACACTGATCTTCTGGTGTGAGATGTGTCTTCACCCTGCAGGCTTAAAGAAGTCCAACCAGGCAGACGGACGATGTGATTGGCCGAAAGTAACACATGAGGACTTTGGTTGAATTTGCTTTATTTGTTGTAATTCCTTCCAGATGGGACTGATTTGTGTTCTTTGAAAAGTTTATCAAATGCTTTAAACATCAGAAAATTCTAGGTTTTGTCATAATGCGAACAGGATTTTGATATTTTCGCTACAGTTCAACGCTTTATTCTTTTACAACCATTTGCACAACTTTTAGGCTCTATTGCACTAATGCGATCGTTAAGAATGCGATTTGATCAAGAAACAAACTTTTTAAACCTTTTCTCTTAATTTTTGTTTAATCTTTCATTAAGTTAGATTTGATTCTTCATTATATTTTTAATAATAATTCTATTTTTGTTGTACTTGTGGGCGCCTCGTGTTTTTTACCTTGAAGGCCGCTATATATGCAAATAAGCAATGGGATGCTTGAAATGTTTACATCAAAAGGTTTTATTCCAACTATTTTGGTTAAATGAGATGGACCTGTTATTTTTAGTGTGACTCTCATAATAATCAGACGGATCTTTATGGGACTTTAGATGATATCTGGTGTCAGAACACAAGAAATTAGGTTGTGTTTTCTGCCTCTTGTCAAAGAAGTGGAACACTTGTTTGATCGGTGCATTTGCAGTGGTATCTTGTTGGAATGAATGCCTTGCAACTCGTACTGGGGGTGGGGTGGGGTGGGGGGGATCACAGCTGAGCTTCAGACGGCAGGTTTTGGAGTCTTATTTCCTGATATTTGGACATCTCGCCTCGAATTGGCTAACAGCAACACGACTCTACCACTGACTTGCAACGTTGATGTTTTATCCCCACTGGAGGAGTTCTGCTGAGTGGTGGATCTGCTAATGCTAACGGTCAGCTTCTACTGGGATTATTTAAGTTTATTTATTTGGCAGACAGTTTTATCCAAAGCGACGTACACTTGTTAACCCATAGGGCATGCTGTGATCTGTGGGGGAAGCCAGAGTACCACGCGTGCATGGGGAGAACATGCAACCCCACACAGAAAGGCCGCAGCCGGGTTTCCAACCTGCAACTTTCTTGCTGCGAGGCAACAATGCTAACAACTACGCCACCATGCAGCCTGCAACCCCTACTATTTGAGACGTTCTCTGATGTTTCCTGGATGCTAAACCAACAACAGCCTTCCCTGTCGTGAGTCCAGATGGGCGAGTCCATGAATAAGTGACTGTGTGACGTAGAGTTTCACCGTCTGTTTTCTGTCAGCAGCTAATGCAGGAGATGGGTGTAGGAGACTATTTTCATGTTCAGCCTGCACGAAACACTCAGAGTGACCCGTTAGAATCAGAAATATTGGGGTTTCAGTGTTGCACACCTAATGAAAAATTTATTTTTTAGGGTTTCTAAATGTGAAAACAATCCGGTGTTTGTTGAATTTGGTCTCATCCCTCTTCAAGAACAATTTCGCCTTGATCTCTTTGCACACTCCCCGTGACCTTATTCTGGACGGAGCAGATTTAGAGCATAAGTGACTGGATTGACCTTCATTTCTGTGTGACCTTGCTTTTCATTGGACAGACCCGTCCTGATTATTTCACCCAGCGGTGCTGTGAGTGACTTTATTCTGGTTTCCCACACTTCGTCCTCTCATTAAAGGAACAATAGAAGTGTGCCTCATTATGCAAAGCATACACGACCTCCTGAGACCTGAGCTTTGGGTTTTTGATAGAAAATCTCTATTTTCCCCTCGTTATTTCAGATCTGCATGATAAAATCTAACAGGCACGGGCGGTCCAGGTTAAACAGAGCTTTTCTTTAAAACACCTCAAAGTGAAAATGAGGCAAAAAAACAACAACTGTGAAACTGTTAAATTAAACAGTTCCCAAAGAAGATCACTTCAGTTGTTCAAACCCATAAAATGCACAACTTTAGAACAAAAAGATGTTATCGTTTGTTCTGGATTAAACATCAAATGTATTCATTATGAAATTCTAATTCTAGAGGACGGAGCTTCGACTTTAAAAAGAAAACACGTCTCCAGCTGGGAAGTTTCTTTTTTAATTCAAAAAGGCACGAGTCCAATCAGGAGCCAAAACTCCAATAAAACATGATGATGCATCAAAACAGCAATTTGCAGGAAAACAGATTCTTTATAAAAGACAAACATTTTACACATTTCAGGCCTTTTTTACAAAAAGAAAACTTAGATGATTGATTATTGAATTATTCATACAATTCTTTAAATCAATTCCCAAATAAAAAGTCTGTCCTGAAAGGAGACCTCAAAGAATCCTTTTAATAAAAAGGAAAATTTTACATTTTAAAATAATTAAAACTCTGTTTGCTGATGATCAAAGTAAATAATTTTACCTTTTTAAGACATCAATGAGGTTAATATGTTGAAACCACGTGGTAATTTCTGTGCTGACCTGAGAACAGATCTGTTTTTATGTTTATATAATAAACATAATTAAAAACCAGCTCAGTCAGAAAAAGGACATTTTAGAACAAAGGTGTGAAAAATATTGAAGGTAAAGTTGGAAAAAACAAACTTTTCGATGTAACAAAAGTTGTTTAAAGCAACAAAACATCATTTTTCTAATCCTAGACTTCAAGAACTACAGAAACCGTAGATTCAGTCGTGCAACATGCATGAAGGTTTGTTTCCTAAAGGAAAAGATCCTGAAGTCATTTTCACAGAAAATGTTTCATCAGATATAAAAATCTGACAGGATCCTTCTGCACGCTCAGAAGAACAAGTCCATGAAGTTTCATGTCTTCAAAATAAGACCAACATGGTCAGATGTTTCTGCAGGAGTCTACCACGGCCTCCAGGGGGCGCTGCTGGCTGGACTCTTGTCTTTACTGGTGCTGGTCTGGACCGTGGAGCTCAGAGGACACAGGTCAGCCTCTCTCAGGTCCTGCAGCTTGTTGAAGTGGTTCAGCAGTCTTCTCTGGGACTGTGTCTTCTCCTGGTCTCTGGACAGGAAGTGCGCCACCTCCTGGACACATCTGGAGAAGCCCTGATCAGCAGCTGCTTGATGCTGCTTCTGGTTCTGCTGCTGCAGTCGTGTCAGGACACAGACGGTCATCTCCAGGATGTCTGCTTTCTCCAGCTTGGAGTCTGGCTACTGTTTGAGGAACTCTGGACCCAGGAGAGACTTGAGCTGCTCGATGCTGCTGTTGATTCTCTCTCTGTGTAACTTCTCCACCAGAGGCTTCCTCAGCTGCAGAAACAAGAACAACATCATTAATGAACTGATTCTCCATCGCGATGATGACATTAAGTCTAAAACCTTCTCCAATATCTTCTGTCTTTCCATGAGCATCGTGTTTACCTTGTGGCTGAGAGTCAGCTGGTCCTGGGTGGATGCTGCAGTGATTGTAGGAGCCATGATTTTGTCTGTAGAGGTCTCTGTGGAGAGAATCTGATCTCTGCAGCCTTCAGCCCTCCTATTTATACTCACACATCTCCATTTGAATGTGTGGGTCCTGGTCTGGATGGAGTTTCCCACAGTTTGGACCAATCAGAGATGCTGAGCTGAAGCAAAAGGAAAGCTGGCCCGCCACATGCTCTGTGCTCGTGTTCTTTTGGGACAATAGTTTGGTCTCAGGGGAACAGCTGGAGGAGCTTTTAGAGAACCTGAGAAAGTGGTGACCCTGGAGAGAGAGATCACACACTCCTCATCAGATCACACACTCCTGATCAGATCACACACTCCTCATCAGATCACACACTCCTGATCAGATCACACACATGTCTGAAATGACAAATCATCACATTTAAGCACAAAACTGTTAAAAATATTCAGAATTTTTTACTTTAAACAACTAAAACATAAGAAATGTTTATT